ATAAAAATTGGAGACATTCATTAGCCATTATTAATTAAACGTAGAAATTTGGTTTTAACTTTAGCCTGCATATGCTCATTTTGATGAAATTGGTCAAGTGAAAAGTGAAATTGAAAAGTTATTTCGAAATCTGCCAAACTTCCTGTCCGCCATTTTAATTTTGTTCAAACCATTCTTTTTTTAACTTCTCCAAAACCGTTAGTCCAATCTTCACCAAATTTTACTTGGATCATCTTAAGACCATGTAGACCAAAAGCTATGGAATTCATGTTGATAGACACAACTGTTGTCATTTAGCAAATGCGCAAACTTGATGTAATGCTGCTAGATGACATTACAGGCTGAATCACTGCAATGGTTTGAAGTATTGAAACCAAATCTAATGTGTGTGATCTAGACCTGACATTGACCAAGCTATCATAGTTTGAGCCACCTACTGGGTAAAATTGACAAACAATTAATAGAAATCATACAAATTTTATCAAATGACTTTTGAATGGTTTTTATTGTCATGAGACTGGTCTTGCAAATTCATTGGATTATACAGAGGACTAGGGTTGGGTACCGAAACCCGGCGCCATTATAGCACCGGTACCTTGGTAACCGGTATGTACCGGAATTAAATCACTGTATGAATTTCGGTGCCTAATTCCGATGCTGCGGCAAAACATGCAGCATCAAAGGGGTGCAAGAAAAAAGGCACACATAGGCGTTGTGTCACAGCATCACTAAACATTTATTTCTAAACAACTTTGAGGAATACGGACAGCGTTATCAGGCATTTGTTATTGTCGCTAGGGAACAGACGCACGCAACACGCAGTACAGCGCATTCAGCCTGGTTTTCGGTGAGCGAAGGCAAAGCGACGCTCTTCAGATCACGGCACGTGATCACGTTCATCCAATTTGCTTAAACTAAGCATTCTAATGCGTATTTACAAGCAAGGATTCTGACACAGCAACTGTCTTTACAAAAGTTGCGTGTAAGGGGGAAACATGTCAAACTTAATGACGTTTGAGGGCTCAAAGACAGAGCCTCTCGCGTGCTTTAGGTGTCGCTCCCTCTGTTTTGGCTCTCTGTGACGGTGCTGCGCGCATCAGTTTCCCGCATTCGTCATGTTCAGTCATGTTCATCATATGAAACCAATGACTGTAAAAAATATGGACGACGCGACAGCCCTTTTTCCCATTGAACGCCTTGAGGGCAAAACGCCTGCTTGACGGGCACAAACTGTCGCAAAAGACTGCTGAAATTGGAGCCAGACATGCGCAGAAGGATTGTCTGATGGAGCCAGAGGAGGAGCCGCGATAATGAGCGGAGTCGAGCTTCCGATCAAACGCTTTATGTAAAATCAACTACGCCCCCCGAACTTCTCAGCATGCGTTTGCTGTCATATCAACACAAATGGATGTAATAACGTTAACAAATATGAGGGTTTTATATATTCAATCGCGCCAGCTCCAGGCCGCAGCGCATAACTTACTCGCGGCGTCGCGGGCTGATTCCGGCTCGCATGCGGCAGCGCCTGCTCGCTCGGCCGCCGCATCTGGCTCGATTGACTCGGGCTGGAATTGGATAGTGAGTCCAGGCATCCGGAGTAGGTCCAGCAGAGGTAACATTAGTCGGTCTGAGCTCTAAGAGATAAGTCTCCGGCAGGCGAGAATCTAGCCGGAACTGTGTTTTGCTATCTGGGTGGCTAGGCGTGTATCAGCAAACTAATAAAGCCCGAAAAAAGCCCTGAACTTAGCGAATAAACAGTGTTCCACCAGGATCATGTATGTCAGAAACTATAGTTTACTGCTGAACTCATTTTGTCATGGTAAAATAACACAGAAATCGAATAATAACATTTCAGTCTACTTCAGTCTCCTGCCGAAGCTCAGACGCCGCGCTTTGAGAAACTGTCAATCACAGCTGTCAATCACGATGACACGCCCAGCATTAAATTACTGCTAAAAACAAACTGTTTACAAAAATGAAGATCTGCACCTATTTCAGCACAATAACCAGTGCCTTAATCGACCAGAACTATCTTTCGGGAAATTTTATTGCAAGTGTAATATTTTTTTTTTTTTGGGCTCAAGTCTCCTTCATTAACACGGAGGAGGCGGGCTTTATGACTTGTACTGCAGCCAGCCCCCAGGGGGCGATCTAACGGCCGAGACCCTCACTCAAACGTAGGCTTGCGGCACACTTGTATGAAACACTATCAAAATGTCCACTGTTGATGAAATTAGACTTTAATTTCAATAGCGATTTTAACACTGTTAATATCCTCGGCTATGCAGAGACGATTATTAATCAGAAATCTAGTGTACATAGTTTTACGTTAGGAAATGCAGTCTTGAATTAACAAACAGTCGGCAAGTAGCAAAGAACAGATGCAAGTTAAGACATTGATCAAATGTAGTTTCCAGTCACGCTCATGTAAGTCATATTTAACTAATTTAGTTTTGCCTTCCTTCATTTTTGATTTCCATCTTCAACACATGAATTATTTACAACACATTTTTAAATATAGTAGTTTAACCAACTCGTTTCTAAAATCTACTTTTTATCTTCCCCATGCTGACAGTCAAAGCAGAACATTTTACTAGTTATTTTGCAAAACAGTTGTATTCAGACAAAGTCCCTTTAAGTATTTTATAGTTTTTTTATTCAGATTAAAGTGTAATTTAGAGTTAATCAGTCACCTACGAAAGTTAAAATAATTAGTCAAATGATTTTGTAACTGATTTGTTGTGTAAATCAAAAATATACAGTAAATATTTCTTAAGGAGGCTAATAATACTGACCTTATTTTTATTTAAATTAAAAACAGCTTTTATTCACGAAATAAACAATAAGAAATAGAACTTATTATAACTCCAGAATAGTTATTTTTTTTAGGAAACACTGTGAACATTATCAGAAACATTATTGTAAATGAACTTCAACTGTAGGCCTGTCTATTAAAGTTTACAGGAGCAACAATGTGCCTTGATGTACTTGAATGTTAGAAATGTGTTCTCCTACACCAGTATAACGTTACTTGTCAAAAAATGAATAAGGAAGATTATTTTGAGTTTAAGTTATTTAATTATCTTGTTTATGAAGACTGCAGAGTGATGCATGAAAACAAATGACTTACAATAATGTTTTAAGTGTTTTGTGATGTATATGTTAAAATGTGCTCCTAAAAGTGCGTGGCCCCTGTCCGCCCCCCACGGGTTAATAGTAAGCTAATGTAATTTCATAATGCAAATCTTAAATTCATGCTAACAAATGATCAAAGGAAATGTATTAATGTAATACAATATGAATTGATGTTTACTAGGGATGTAACGGTATCAGAATTTCACGGTACGGTAATACCTTGGTATGAATGTCACAGTACGGTATTTACTGAATCATTTACAGGAAAAAACAAAACTTATGAAAATACTCCAAAAAAGTGCCAAAAGTGTCAATGACATACAAATTATTCATCTATCTGTAAGCTTTGAAACAGGAACTTCAATTTTAATAACAAAAAAATATTAAACCATGTAAAAAAAATTAAGTTTCAATTTAGTAGTGTTGAAAACTCATCACATTCAACATTTAATCACTCACTCACTTAGATAGAGATGGGTTTAAAGGAAAATTATCATATAAATATAATCTGGTAAAAGCTGGTATCTCTGGGCATTTACAATGTCCCCTGCAACAGAAAAAAGCCCCTCTCATTTGGGACTGAGGTTTCTGGGACAGAGAGATATGACTTGGCCCAGGTTGTTAGCAATGGGGAACGTTGTGCATTGTCTTTCCCCCACTTGAGAGGACAAACCATGAGTGAGATAGAGGTCTCATGTCTGCATCAATCTGAACAGTGTGCTGTGTTTCTGCAGTCCCCATGACTGATTAGTCGTATTCCCCAACTTGCAGGCACGTGCGCACACACAGTGCTCAACCTGTGCAGTGCACATGCCCTTTTTAGTCTTGGATAGAAAGTTCCCTTCCAAAATGATTAAAAGTGCCCCCGCGACGCGACATACCCTCCGTCCCCGCTATTCAGTACGCGCGCGACAACACAGCTGATAAGAACTCGCGCGACAACACCGCTATTCAGAACGCGCGCGACAACACGGCTGATAAGAACTTGCGCGACAACACCGCTATTCAGTACGCGCGCCGCGACAACACCCGCTTTAGGGTTTTCCAGCTCTTTTTAATCCCCGCTTCTAGCAGCACACTCCATTTCCGCATTACTGGATCTGTAGCGACAACAGACCGCAAGGGATTATGGCCAAGCCTGGGCTGGTGGGAATTGTAGTTTCCGGTACCTCCCGATCGCTTCATTCGCCTGAGCAAATTTTCTCAGAAGACCTATAGTTTTACCGAGTCATGCGACTTCGATAATATCGAAAAAAATTTATATTGCGGTATGACGGTATTTACAATACCGTTACATCCCTAATGTTTACATTAAACTGTTATTATATTGTTCTATTAAAATGATTTTTTAAAAATATTTTGTCAAATAAAATATTTTTGTGGTCATCCACCATCATTTTGTGGCTAAAAAGTATCAATTCAGGCACCAGTTTGGCACCAGTATCGTTTTAAAAGTATCGATTTAGATTTAGCACTGGTATCGAAAAAAAGCCAAACGATAACCAACCCTACAGAGGACATTAACATAATTTATTCCCTTATTGACACAACCTACTTTCCACCATCTTGAATTAGTTTGAAAATCTGTTGTTTTAAACTCTCCATAGTCGTTAGCCCAATTTCCACCAAATTTGGCTCAAACCATGCTGCCAAAAAGTTTTGGAATTTCCCTGTTGCTCTGTAGCTTGTTGCCGTGCTTGTTTATGATGTGGCCGCTGGGCTGCTTGGCCCTGATAATGGCTGCTTGCAGCTATATTATTATATTTGTGTCAATATTGCTTGTATACAACTCTATTAGTACAATATAAAGGGACCTTGACCTAAAGAAAAAATGTACTTTACATTTTACCTGTAGCTCAAGGTTGCTTTATATCGTACAAATAGATTTTTGTCATAGCATATTCACCATATTTGACACCAAATATGCATAACTAAATCGAAAATATTCAGTCCTGATACAATTAAAGTCAATTTCCCTTTTAAAGATACTAAAGTACTCACCACTTGCAGTCACGTTGAACATCTTATGTATGGTGTGTGTGGTGCTGTTAATGTCTGCTTCATAAAACCCAGAATGACAGATTTCAATGTTCCTGATGGTCAGAGATCCAGTCAGATAGTCCAGATGTAGTCTGTGTCTGAATCTCTCATCAGCATCATCATATGAGACTTTTACAGCCTTTCTATTCATTTTAGCTATAGAAGATTTCTGACGTTGAAACCTCCACTGTATCATATCGACTGTCTGTACATCAGTAAGATCCGTGTGTAGAGTGACGGACTCTCCCACCATCACCAGCACTGACTTGACTTCATCTACAGACACAGCTGGGGAAAAAACAGAAATAATTCATAAAAATCTCAATGCACAGATCTCATCTTTTTCAGCGTATCTGATTTTACGCTTCACCTTCAATTCAATGTCAGTTACATTAATCTGCAACTCAAGATGTCATTCAATAAAGTGTTTACAGCATGTGTAATCAACATATTATCAGTCTCCCTGGGATTCTCTTGTATTTTACCATTTTAACCTGGCTGCTATCATCCCACATAAATATTTTCCCAGTTTTAAATGTTTACTATGAAAGTAAGATTCTGTGCCTAACTATCGTGGTTATCGTGGTTCTGACCTTCGACCACTTCCACAATGCACCGGCCCCTTATGCCTCCTCCTACAAGTGATGGTCTCACTTCACTCTTTTGGTGTGAGCCAGGCTGAAAACACAACCATGTTTCGTATACAAGCTCCAACCTTAGGCCTGACTCCAGGGTGGGGCCCAGTTGCGACAAACCGGTCGATGTCAGGATCCTCAATGTTTTGTTACTCATAAGAGGTTAATGAACCCCACTTAGAGTTCTTTCACACCTGTAGATCGATTGTTTTGTAGCAAAACAAGCACTAAAATTGTTACAATGTTGCTCTTTGTTATTGGTGGGGTTCGCTTTTACTCGGTAAAGTTTCTAAACCAGGGGTGTCCAAACTTTTTGGGCCGAGGGCCAGATGCAAAAAAAAAAAAACTTGTCCTGGGCCAAATTTTACATGCATCACACAGACACGCATACATATATATATATATATATATATATATATATATATATATATATATATATATATATATATATATATATATATATATATATATATACATACACACAGTTGAAGTCAGAATTGTTAGCCCCCCTGAATTATTAGCCCCCTGTTTATTTTTTTATCATTTCTGTTTAACGGTGAGAAGATTTTTTTACCACACATTTCTAAACATATAGTTTTAGTAAATGTTGACTGCTTTATTTTTTCTTTGCCATGATGACAGTAAATAATATTTGACTAGATATTTTTCAAGACACTTCTATACAGCTTAAAGGGACATTTAAAGGCTTAACTAGGTTAATTAGGGTAACTAGGCAGGTTAGGGTAATTAGGTAAGTTATTTTATAAAAATGGTTTGTTCTAAAGGGGTTAATAATTTTGACCTTAAAATGGTTCATAAAAAATTAAAAAACTGCTTTTATTTTAGCCGAAATAAAACAATTAAGACTTTCTCCAGAAGAACAAATATTATCAGACATACTGTGAAAATTTCCTTGCTCTGTTAAACATCATTTGGGAAATATTTAAAAAAGAAGAAATAAATCAAAGGGGGCAAATAATTCTGACTTCAACTGTATATATATGTATGTGGATGGATGGATGGATGGATGGATAGATGGATGGATGGATGGATTGATGGATGGATGGATGGATGGATGTGTGTGCATAATTTTGTGTAATTATTTTATTTCGTCATCAAACTGTGTTTCTAGAAAGACTTATGTTTTTAAAATCTTGAATCTTCTCTGGGCAAATTACAGTTGCTACACTCATCTTTTATAAATTCCTTTATAAATTGAGCTGATACGGCAGCAACTATTTGTTTTACTTTTTGATCTCGTTCGGCACCAGTGTAAGAGCTGAAGGCCTGATGTTTTTTTTTTTTCATAATGACTTTTAATATTATATTCCTTCATTACAGCAACTGATTCCTGGCAAATTAAACAGATACATTTCTGACTGACCTATGTCAAGAAATATTCTTTGCCCCAATGTGACTGAAATTTCCTGCACTCACTGTTGATTTTTTTTTTCTTGGTTGCGCCATGGCTTGCCAAAATGTGAATCGAAATGTTCTCAATTATGTTTTCTTCAGTTTGGCCGGTTCGTTTTACATCATAACATGAACTGCTGCTTAATTGAATACATGTGATAGCGACACCCGGTGGTTATTTCTTGAATTACGTTCATTTTTGTATAGCGGGCCAGATTCTATTGATATTTATAAAAAGCCTCGCGGGCAGCCACAAAACTGATTGCGGGCCCAGGATGGCCCGCGGGCCATAGTTTGGACACCCCTGTTCTAAACAGACCAAAATAGCTAAAACAAGTCACGTGTGAGTAAACTCTCCTCACATTGGACAGAGTTTGGTTTATTTCCTGGGATTCCACTCAGCTGTCATACGCCCTTATTTTAATTCATAACAATGAGAAATGAGACATTGTAAGTGAAAAGGTGTGCTTTCATTTTGAATGGTGACACTCACAGACAGTCATCACCAAATATAAATCTGAGATAAGAATTTCTCATACCTAGCCTCAGTGGCGCAGTGGGTACCACAATCACCTCACAGCAAGAAGGTCGCTGGTTTGAGCCTCAGCTGGGTCATTTGGCGTTTCTGTGTGGAGTTTGCACGTTCACCCCGTGTTTGCATGGGTTTCCTCGGGTGCTCCGGTTTCCCCCACAGTCCAAACACATGTGTTATAGGTGAATTGGGTAAGTTAAATTTTCCATAGTGTAAGGATCCAAAATATCAGCCCATAAGAACTGTGATGGAATTTCATGAGACAAGATGCAATGTTCCAATGCATTTTCTAATCTGAGAAGTGATGAAGAAACCAACTGTTCCACTGTTCTATTCAAATCACTGTTGACAATGCAAACAAAGGCTGGAGAAACAGAGCTACTCAACAGCAGGGGGTAATGTGAAGAAGTCACCCATCTCCTTCCACCTCAAGCCCCCCTTCTTGACCCTTATGTTACCTTCTGATTAGAGCACATTTCACATAAAATGTTCAAGGTTTTAATCTGGTGTATCTTGCATCACTATATTCATGTTTGGTATCATTTTAAATGTCTCTGTGTGATTGGTAAAGTGGTCTTAATTTTACAGTAATATTTTACTGGTATATGTTGATTTGGTTTTTGACTTCTATAGGATCTTGATAAGATGCTCTCCCTCCTAAGAGATGGTTAAGTCCTCAAATTGACCAGGCCAGGGTTTCTGTGACACCTCTATTGTCTTGAATTTATGGCTGTTTGTTTTGACTTGAGTATATAAGGTAAGATGTGCTTTAGGACGGGGGGAGATCTTGTAAAAAGACACCCCATTGCAGCATCTCTGAGGCCCCGTTTACACTAATGCGTTTTAGTTTGAAAACGCATAAGTTTTGCTACGGTTACGCCATCCGTCCACACTACCACGGAGTTCTCGAGCGCCGAAAACGGAGCGTTTCGAAAACGCTGGAGAGGCCGTTTTCATTCTAAAACGCTGCAGCTCCGTCTCAGTGTGGATGGGGAAAGACGGAGACATCTGAAAACGGAGGCGGGGCTGCAGACATTCGCCTCTCTGATTGGGGCTTTCCCTCAATATTAAGTAGCCTACACACAGTTCAGTCCTGAATCTTCTCCGTGTAAGTTCAGACTTCGCAAGTTTGATCAAGGCTGCAGTCTCTTCTTCTCAGTTTGATATGGAAAACATACCGAGGACACGCGTCAATCTTCACAGGGAACCGTGTACTTTATGACTTCATTCACATCACCTTGGCTTCGTTGTTTCACTTTCTCAACAATAAAATGTAAACTTGATTTAAGGAACTGCCTATTTTTATTTTAATATTAACAACTAAACAGACAGCAGAAATGTTGAGGCGTCGTGCTGCATGAGCGTCATCTTCACTGTGTGGATATTTATAACAAAACGGAGCCGATAACAACTGCCTCCTTTCAATTTCAGTGAAAATACGAAACATGCCCTCTCTTTTGCTGAATATCCGTTTTAATAATCGATAATGGCCATAAAAGTATAACATACAATAAGTTTATACATTATAGGAAATAAAGACAAGCGATCAGTCAATATACAGAATGTAGGCTACATGGTTACATTAATCATTAACTTATCTTTGCGCTCAGCCAAAACACGTTACGAGAACAAGTAATAGATTCCAATGACCAAAGTCAGGGAATATGTCGTTAGATAAAGACAACAAGATGAATGAAATATCACGTTTAATAAATATAGTGAGATTAGATCCAGCGGGAGATGCTTGATGAGAAGTCCGACCAGCAGAGCTCTCATCTGGGTAGATGGGCTGCAGCGCTTGCCAAAGTGTGTGTGTGGTCACGTGATGTGCGTTTTCAGCGTTTTAGTGTGGACGGAGAGCAGTTCAGAAACGCTGGGTAAAACGCGAGTGTGGACGCGGATCGTTTTCATTCTAAAACGCCGTTTTAAAACTAAAACACACTAGTGTAAACGGGGCCTGAGACTTATGCTGCAATGTACTTCTCTGGTCAGGTATGCATCTATATTTCTTTGATTTATCTTTGATTAATGGATGTTATATTGTTAGTCTCATCTCTGAATTGGCTTCCTGATGATTTATTATGTAATTGGCAGAATACAATTTTACCTGAAAAATAAAATGTTAAGTTTTGATTAATTCTGGAGTTGCGAATTCATTGTATCCAGTAGATTAGAGGAGTCTTCATTACCTTTATTGTATGGCATAATTGAATTGATTAATAGGCACATTTGATTATACGTAGCCATAAAGGCCTATAACATGTAGACCTTTTAATCATTCAACCACTGGAAGTAGCAAGTTGTATGGGCTTGGCTAAGGATCTGTTTTTTAAGACTAGGTAAGCGTTAATGCGACCAGCTTATTCAAATATAGTTAATCCTGCATCCTCTGACTATTTTCAGAGTGTCGACATATTGTCCGTGAGAAGATGCGCAAACCCGGGGCGTGGAACTCTGAGCGATGTTGGTCCCTAATGAACGTACAATTAGAATATCGGACCTCAGAAAATATCAAAACTCTAAATTAAATCATAAATGATGAATGTGATCCGTTCTTACAATTAGAAATACAATCTAAATTTTAGGATCATTTAAATTGGAGTCAGATTTAATTCGGAGCTAAAAAACTAATAAAAATAAATTCTAATAAATAATAAAATTCTTTTCATAAGCACTAGAAAAGGCTTACATGCATTAAACCTTCGACCATGCTGTTAGTTTCGTCATTGAGCTAATAGATGGACTCCTACAATAGTGTATGTGTGTGAATGAGTGTGTGAAAGTTGAGTTTACCAAAAAGTTGGATAGTTCGTTTAAATCAAGCTGAGACCATCTCATTCAGGTGCTAGGAGAATTAACTGCTAGATTAAGGAGGGGGAGTATTTTTAGAGAGAGAAGAGTGCTTTTACAGGTGGTATGTCAAGCCTATTTACCTGTGTGAAGCACACTTCATAAATGCAGCGTTTTCTTTTTTAGTAGAGGAGGCAGTCTAGCTGATCTCGGAAATGATGTTTTAGTTGTGGTTTAAATAATATCAGTGAATCAGCAGGAAAGAGAACTGAGCTCAGAAGATACTTGAGTCCTGGGCTCCCTCTCCTTTGAAGGGTGTAAGGGGGGGTCTCGAGAACTCCCCTGGTTAGTTAGGGTCTATGACAGATTATAGTAATTGCTATGGAAAGATAAACTGCTGACTAAAAGCCATATATAGGACTAAGAGCTCATCTATTGTGCCCATTCTGTTTGGTTAATTCACTAATGTCACATGTCTTTGGAATGTGAGAGGAAACCAGGAACCCAGGTGAAACCCATGAGAGAATGAGCTGAACATGTAAACTCCACACAGAAATGGCCTGATAATGACTTGAACCACTGACATTCTTGCTGTGAGGCAACCATTCTAACTACTGCCACCGTGCTATGCAATGTAGGAAAAGGAAGACGAATGGAAGGGGGGGTTCTTCAAGATGAAGATAACTGGGGTAAAATACTCTGGATAATTATGTTATGTTTGATTAATTATGATTAATTTGTTTAATGAATCATGTGTTAGCTAAAGCGGGACCAGTCGTGGTCAATAACAAACATGTGATCCTCTCAAAATTAGTTTATAAATAAACTTCACTACAGAAATAAAGATGGCTTGCGCCAATGTAAATGTACCTTTAACTCAAACTACAACTATTTAGAAATTCACTCTAAAAACTGGAAGCTGATTTCAACAAATTAAAATAATATACTCACCACTAACATTGTACAAGTACAAGAGTACAAGATACTCACCACTAACATTGAACATCTTGTTCAGTCTATAGTAACTGTTGGTTACTTTATAAAGTCCAGAGAGTTCAGTTCTGAAGTTTCTGACAGTTAGATCTCCAGTTTTATTGTCCAGTTTCAGTCTGTTTGTGAATCTCCCATCTAAAATAGATTCATATATAAATATCTTAAAGAGTCTATTGTAGATTTGAGCTATGAGGTTGCCTTCAACCCCATACCTCCACTCCATCACTTCATCATACTCCATTTCAGAAAGTCCAGTGTGTAGAGTGACCGAATCTCCCTCCATCACAGACACGAACTCGCCAAACACACCTAAACAGGAAACAGTTACACAGATGATGCAGATACAAGGCATTACACTAGCAAAAGTTTTTCATTCATCCTCACACCTAAAATAGCCTACTAGTACACAAAAAAAAAAAAAAAAAAAAAAAAAAAATATATATATATATATATATATATATATATATATATATATATTAGAGCTGCACGATTCTGGCTAAAATGAGAATCATGATTTTTTGCTTAAAATAAAGATCCCGATTTTCTCACAATTCTGTAGATGTAAAATAAAGCTCAATATAAGATTATTATTTTTTCTCAAACAAATGGTAAAACAACAATATTAATGTTATGTGTAGGTCTACTGGTTTCTATAAATAATTATATGCTACTTATATCTCAAACATAATTCAACATCAGAATTACTGTATGCTTGCAATTTGTCATTGACAACATTTTTAGACAAAATAATTCACTGGTAAAATCATCATTATATAGGCTAGAGTAGTTATACTGACACTGTAAACATATATTTTCATGCAATGCGATATGATTATTTAAATGATGTGTGTGCTTTCGGTTTCATTTTGACTGCTGAGTGCTTGTTCATACTTTGCGCGCAGCTCTGAAACGATCACTCAGTGCCACAAGCTAAATATTATTTACAACTGTATTACCTGTTACTCAGCATATGCAGGTTCTGTTCACTAAAGTAGACGCGCGCGCGTCTATCATTAAATAGGCGCTTGCCCGCACAGTCAGCAGCTCACGTCACGTGTGATTTCCCGGCCGCAAATACAGCATTATATGAAGAAAAAAATACATTTTTAGATGAATTATACCTTATAAATACAGTATGTGACTCTTTTAAAATCATTTGGAGGTGTACATGTCGCTGAGCAACGTGTGTGAAACAATGAAAAGACTCGAGCAGCTGCCTTTTCTTCTCTCCTGAACTTGAAAATATGATAGACAGAATCGTAGAAATGCTGGATTAAGATCATCTAGGGCAGGGGTGGGCAAACTCAATCTTGGAGGGCCGGTGTTCTGCACAGTTTAGCTCCTACTCTAATCAAACACACCTGCTTATAGATGCTAGTGATCTTGAAGACACTGATTAGCTTGTTCAGGTGTGTTTGACTAGTGTTGGAACAAAACTCTACAGGGACACCGGCCCTCAAGGATCAAGTTTGCCCATCCCTGATCTAGAGGGTCGAATCGAGATCGCAATCTTTTTTCGAATAATTGTGCAGCTCTAATATATATATATATATATATATATATATATATATATATATATATATATATATATATATATATATATATATATATGTAGTTAAGACACTAGAACACGCAAAGGTCCTGGCTTTTATTTTCACTTTCAAACAGGAGCTATTTCACGGCACAGAATATGCTGTTTTGAAAGATATCTGAAGTAAATTGATGTTCTTGCTATTAGAAAGTTTAGTTTAAGTTAACTGGAAGTTGCTAGGCAAAAAAATGCACACATTTAAAGTCACAGTGAAAAGTATCAGACATGCAAGCAGTCATTTTGAAGAATATGGTAATTAAAGGTAGAAATGCTCAGTTCCCCTTCGGTTGGGGAACTTCAGTGCTATAAGTGGATTTGATCTTGGAAAATCCACATATGGGAGGATTCGGTTCTGAAGCCGCTTGTCTGAAAGTGTATTGAACGGGCCAATGAAAGCAATGAATTGGCAGCGTAAGCTTGCGCAGGTGTGCTTCATTGCCAATTATCCCAGCATATACAGGTAAGCACACCTGGAGCGAGCAAACGCCATCCTTTTCGCTTCAGAGACTTTCTGATCGAGTCGATGAGGGTTCCTCTTGCTGATTCAGCGACTTCAGAGCGAACGAGTGTCTCCCAGTCCAGAGTGGGTTTTCGCGGCGGCAGACGGTCGAGCTAGGTTTCTCCCTTGCCTGCGGTTCTTTGGGTCCGGTCCTCCAGAGCGGTGTGTATTGTTGCAAACTTTCCTAAAAGAGCAACACAGTCGTGCAGCACGTCCCTTTCAGGATGGCGCTCCGACTTTGCGTTTCTGGATGCAGGGGTTTCCTGGCTCCGGATGATGGACACGATCACTGCATTACATGTTTGGGGGTCCAGCATGTAAATGTGGTGCTCGCGGGCGGTTCATGTCGTCACTGCGATGCCATGACCATTGCACAGCTAAGATCACGGCTAACTTCCGTAAGAGAGCGAACCACCCAAGTTGTCTCCTTCTCTGCAACGGGCGCTCGGGCAGATCTGAGGGTTCCAGCGGGAGATAATCCGCAGCCCAAGGGCTGGCGGACCTCTTGTTCCTCAAAGCGCTCAATCCAAGCTTCGGGCAGTGGGAGTGATCCGTCTAACCAGATGGTAGCTCTCATGCTCGCTGACACCGGAGATCAGATGTCCTCCGCGGCATCGAAGGGTGGGCTTTCACTGTCCGACAAAGATCCTGACCCGCTCGCCTCCTCCGGGCAGGTGAGCGCCGTCAAAATGGATCCTAAAGCGGACATGTTAGCCGTGCTTTCCCGGGCTGCTTCGGCTGTGGGGTTGGAGCTGGTTCATCACTACAAAGGCCCGCCGCGTGTGCGCTAGGGAGGACGATGTCCACACTTGTGGTTCAGGAGCGCCACCTCTGGCTAAACCTGGCCGATATGCGCGTTGTTGACAAAGTTCGCTTTCTTGACTCGCCCATATCCCAGGCTGGCCTGTTCGGCGACACCATCGGTGAATTCACCCAGGAATTCAAGGCGGTGAAAGAACAGTCGGATGCGATGGGTAATGTCATCTATCGGCGCGGCCGTAAGCCCGCTCCGCCCGCCGAGTCATCCACCTCCGCTGCTTCTCGCCGAGGGCGCCCGCCAACGAGTGCTGCCCCGCCCGGCGTACACCTCGAAAGCAGGCAGCCCCCCTGCCCAGGGCGCCGTTAAGTCTGGTAAACGGACCGCGAAGCGTCCCTGAGACAGGCCATCCGGAGAGGAGGAAACTTGCTCTTTCCCCGCTGGAGAGCGGGGCCCCGATTCCAACGGTACTTTTCAGTGCCACCAAAACATCAATGAAAGAGCACTTTTCCCCTTCCATGGATGTGACAGTACAAACCTTGCCAGTCCGGGATGCGCTGCCTTCCGGCTCGCAGGTTCTACATGCTTCGCCAGTGGCTCACGAGCGCTGGGGGGACAGTCCCCTTTCCCTCAGCCCTCCAGCCCCCTCTCTGGAGTCAGGGTGCGGAGCCAGAGCGAATCGCTCTCCTCCAGCTCTTCCGCGGGACCCTCGTGCTCCCCGGATCATCACACCCACTCCGCGCTGCCCCACCGCTGGTACGTCAGTGATTGTAGCGATGACTCCATTAGCGAGGGCTCTGCCTGCCTGGTTAGCGCTGGCCAGCCCCTCGCGGTGGCTCATACGCACAATCAGACTCGGTTACACGATTCAGTTCACGAAGCGGCCCCCCAAGTTCACGTGCGTGTATTTCACCAGGGTCAACCCCGTCCACCCCTGTCTTGCAAGAGGAGATTGCTGCCCTCCTGTCGAGGGGTGCAATCGAGCCAGTTCCTCCAGCCGAGATGGAGAGTGATGGTTTGCTTCACTGCCAGTATGTTCTATCGGGTGGGACAGATTTGATGTGTTCCCGATGTTATTCGGCACCACTCTCCCACACAGAGCACCCAAAAACAATAAGTTAATCTGAACATAAAAAGCCGAACCACTTCCACACCACTGCATTAGTCTTTCCTGTCTCATCAACTAATTTGTCTTTATTCTTGTGGACGCTTGTTCATTCACAACTGTATTTAGGGAACTGATTTTGTAGCTAAAACTTTCTGAACTGTGCGAAGGAGCTTAACCAGCGTGTCTGTGATGTATGTCATCATGCAAATGACACCACGCTCTTTCTGACGGCTGAGCACTGAACATAATTCAGTGACAAATGATACAATTTATAAGATCTTAGAAATATAATCAAATATATATCAAAATACCAGAAATAGGTTTAAAAAAATCATATCACCGTTGTTGAAAAAAAGAAAATCTATCGCGATATATATTGATATTGAATTATTGTCCAGCCCTAATACATACATACATACATACATACATACATACATGCATACATGCATACATACGTTTTTTATATTAATAAAAATGTTTCTTGGTTAACCTGTTTTTACACAAAAGATCAACCAATCGGGTTTTAGATCCATTTTAACTTGTTTAGATATAATCTCAAAATTATAAACGAAAAACCTAGAGATACAAGCATGATGTAGACTATACTCTATAATATGCAATGTACTTTTTCTGATACACAAATTATATTAGTAATTCATATACAAGTAACAATTTCAATTGTATTGTCATTACATTAAAATGCTAATCATCAGATTGCAAAGAATAAGTAAACTGCAGTATAATATACCATATGGTAATGCAAAGTTATGTTCTAACATTAATGATGATCATGTGCACGTTAACACTGATGTAAAGTTTTTGATAAACGCACTATGAACTAACACAACAAACAGTTAGGCTAACAACTATGGAAAATGAAGAGAATTTGATTGACTATTACAAGCTAGAAAAACATCAGACAACCATGTCAAAGCAATTAATGGTATGACACCAGCTGAATAGATCTAATATTTACACATTTATGTATGAGAAAGGAATGGTTTGGGTAGTTACATCACTATTACTATTTTCCATAACATATATGCCCTTCCACAAATGAGATGACTTTAAAACGAGACATTAAAAGAGATAGCGCTAACCATGTTATGCCATACCTGTTAACATTGAGGTGAAAAAATAGGGGACAGCAATTAGCTTCAAATGATAGAATACATAGCAAACATTAGTAAATATTAATAAAATAAACAGAGTTAGCCTAATAAAATCAATGGCCTACAGTAAAATGAAATCAAGTTATAAAAGTCGGTTCAGTTTTTACTGTATTTAAATATTGATTTAAGTCACTATAGTTATTTAGTGAAGAGCAGCAAATAAATCTCTCTTTTTGTTTAGCTTGATAAGTGTCACTGTGAGAATGCACCGATTTGTAGGCTGATAAAAGTTTTTGAATACTTACTAACAAGTAAGTTTGTGCTGATTTAAGTAAAAATTATTTATATAAAATAAAACAAACAGGAGGGACATGTTTATATATGTTATTAAGTGTATTTGTCTGTTTAAATACACCCAATTCCCACTCTTTAAATGACGTGTACAGAAGCTGATCTGGGAACAGTTTATCAAACAGAGCGCATTCGTCAGTCAGCATGCATACACGGATTCAGAGGTTACGATTGACACAGCTGAAAGTGAATGCAGACGTTTTATGTTTATTCTAGCGTGCGTCTTAGACAAGAAGCAACTAGGCTATATTATTACTACTACTACTACTACTACTACTACTACTACTACTACTCAGGGGTGCAACTACACATTTACTGAGGGGTATGTGGATTCAAGTTGTGTTTAGTGTAAAAAATAAACAGAGACAAACTGCCTAAAATGTTCAATTTCATCAAAATGCTATGGGCAAACTTTTTTTTTTTTTGTAGCTAAAATTAAAATAGTTGAGCAAAACAAAAGTTACCAAAAGGCCTGATCCATCATTATGATACATAATAAATTTATAAAAACATCTATATGGTATGATAGGATTGATAAACATTTCAATTCCAAAAAAATGTGAATATTCTCACTGTTTGTTCATGTGTCAGTCTTAACAGGGTTAAGAATCATTATAATCAAGTATATAAAATTCATATAGGCAAGTTTTTAATCCAAGTATTATTTTCTATTTTATCTGAAATATATTGAAGTCTGTACTCACTTAAACATACATTTTGTGGGATCCCTCTTATTTTGGCAAATTAATTAATTAAATAAATTAATTAATTTATATTACTTTTTTTTCAGATTAATCTTATAACTTTTGACCTCAACTGTACTGTATGAATGATTTGACAGTTTTTGATAAAAATATAAAATATATAAACAGTTACATCTACATGAACACTTTACACTTGGCTGTGTGACTGCATGTTATTGTGTTAAATAATTTTGAATTAAAATGCGTGTGCGAACATATGCAACTCATTGTATATATTTTTTTATTTAATAAAATACAATATTAAACTCGTATAAAAAGCTAAATAAACATCAACAAAACATATTTATTTATTTTTATTATTTGAAACTTTTAATATGGATAATTTCAAAAATCGTTTTGCCACTTATGGCGCCCCTATGCGCCGCATTTACTGCATACCCCCTTTTTGCGCCCCTGCTACTACTACTTATTAGACTTTGCTATGCAGTTAAAATACATGGGCTTATTATTTTTCAAAGTCATAATACCAATGAGTTCTAAGAATAGTGGAAGTTACACTTTTTTCTTCCTCCATTTTAGGCGCCCCTCCTATATAGCCTATGCCATGGGTGAGCCTTCTCGTTGTAAAATTTACGTAGCGAGAAAACAACACGCAAACTTCATTTACTGCCCTACGTTTACTAGAAGTTGTTGTAATTATTCATAATTTAACAAAAACATCTATAAATACGACTATAACAGAAACGATAAAGTACTTTAAAGTGCAAAATAAAACCGAAAGTTAAATATAAGCAAAAATATCTTACCGACCAAGACGACATGGAATACACAGAAATATAACAAGCTCTTCATAATGCTGCAGTCGGTAAACTCTGAGTTCATGAAGATGATTTGCGGATAATGCAGAATAGCTATCTGCTGAAGTCACTCCAGGATCGGTCGGATGACTCGGATCGACAGAAAATCCGCCTGAAGGTCGAAATAAAGACTAAAAGACTCAATGCCAGCTAATGAGGAATGTTTTTGATCAGTCAATATCTGTAACTGCAGGAAAAAGTAAGTCTAAGACTTCCATCTGTGTCCATCTTGGTAAAAGCTCAAATAAAATGGAGGACACGTCCTTATAGCGCCGCCTACAAACAGACTGATCATGAATAGCCTATTATAAATATGGAAACATGCATACACTTGTATAACAATAAACTTAACAAACTTGCCCAGTGGCAACAACAGTGAACATTGATGTCATGGTCACAAATGTTTATTTAATAAATATGTAAACATGTTGTAATTTTACAGTTGCATTGTAACACTTGCCTCATTTCTTCATAAATTTAAAAGTTGGAAAAAAGTGACTTATTGATATTATTTAATAGTTTAAAGTGATATGTGTTGTCTGGGTTGGTGTTGTATATCATGGTACAAAACTATTGTAATTAACTGTCAGTACATTTTCTGTTATTTTATAGACTTTTCTCTAGATAATATTTTAAACTACTAAAATGTTTTTAAAAAAGTCACTTTGTTAAACTGTAGAGTTGAATTTTCAACATCAAGTCAACAGAGCGGAGATTAACATCCCATATTGCAATTCACAACTGTAAATAAACAGAAAACACTTAATAAACACACAATTTTAGGTGTTTCAGATTACCCACCCTGCTGAAAAATCCAGCTTAAACCAGCCTAGGCACGTTGGCTGGTTTTAGCTGGTCGACCAGGCTGGTTTTAGCTGGATTTGGCTGGTAATTTTCCAGCCTGACCAGCTAAGACCAAGCTGGAAATGGCTGGAAACCAGCCTGGAAATGGCCAAAACCCCTCTAAAACCAGGCTGGTCGACCAGCTAAAACCAGCCAACCAGCCTAGGCTGGTTTAAGCTGGATTTTTCAGCAGGGCACATTTACCCTACTGTAGATTTAACAGAGTTACTGCAGATTCCAAGAGACAAAATAAAAACCCTTCAGCAGAAGCACTGATGCAACATGAAGTAAAGTTATTAAGGGTCTCTGATGTCAAACAAAGCCACCCTCAAAGTCTAGCTTAAGGAAAAGGAAATAAGATTACGTTGTGGTTGCTGCTCGCTAACTTCCGGTTTTATAAAAGCAAGGCACTGCTTTGTTTGTCGTCACTTTAGCCTGTAAACGGCATAACAAAACAAAGCGATTTTATAGAGAGCGATTTAAGCAGATTGCAAGATTACAACTAGGAAAGATGACAATTTTACTGTCACTGTACATTACATTATATTGTTAGATTTATAATTGTTTGCATCAGAAATGTAGGCTATCATCCCAATCTGTTCTGGGCACAATACAGATCACTGTAGTTTCTATACAGTAGGTGATACTTGCCACTTTTAGCATTCTGATGATGACAGTAAATCAGACCACCCACTACAATCACCAGGGCCCGGTTTTTCAAAAGTAATCCACTAGGGTTTTGGATAAGGGATTGGATCAAATCTTGAAAATGGGTTTTTCAAAAGAAAAAACGGATTACATAATCGGATTAGATCATGTAATCCAATCTTGGTCTTGATCCGGATCAAACCTTTAGTTTGGGTTTTTCAGACCTTTTTTGTAGGATTTGGATCACTTTGATCCAAAAAACATGGATTAAACTGATCCCATCAGAAGGGTGGATTTAGCGTGGATTTCATGCCAAAAATGTAATAAAAACTTTAAAAATGTATTAAATAATACTATTTTTGGATCATGAAGTATCTTACGAGATATACTATTTATTTATAAGGTTTTAATTGTATTTGTTCATCTGTCAGGCTACAGTGATTTTTGGCTTTAATGTATTCAGCCTTTCAGTATAGGCCTCCAGCAAAGTAGAAAGAGTTTGGGCTCATAAAATAATCCCCCAAACAGCTGTCAAAATTTACCAAAAACAATATATTTCATTCTTTTACTAATTGATATATATATATATATATATATATATATATATATATATATATATATATATATATATATATATATATATATATATATATTTATCACAATGGAAAATATTTTTGTTTTTAAAATATTTATTAGTGATGCATGCAATTATTACAGAATAAAAAAAAAAAAAGAGCAAAGAATGGCAATCACTAATTTTTGAAATCACCTTCAACAATTACAAAAAAGAGGGCAGAAGCACAGCTTTATCTGGCAGAGGAACAACCGACTCTGACCAAACTGCAGCAAACCAAGGCCAGATTTGAGATTTGCCTCCTAAAGGCTTTGCTCAGACAAGCTGCTCTCTCCACATCAGATGAGGAAGTCTGAACTTATTGTGGAGTTTTTTACATTAAGTCTTTTATTATTTACTTCTATATTTGAAACTTATTATAAATACCTCAATGTACAGTGTTTGTGTTGTAGGTTGCAAATGAGCGAAATGCTGGAAGAGGATGGGGTGGGGTTTTTATTGTTTTTAGTTTTTTTTTTTTAATAAAGTTATATTGACCTCACACTGGCTATTCTACTTGTTGCTCTTTACATAAGCCTATCTATCCATCTTCATTGTGATTGAGCACTGGTAATCCAGATTTAGTGATCCTGAAAAGTTCCTATCCGGATCAGATTGATCCAATCCAATGTTGCTTTGAAAAACTGGCTCAAAAAGTAAGCTGGATTGCGTGATCACGGATTGCAAAAACAGAATTACTAAATCCAGATCAATTTTATCCAGATTAAACCTTTTGAAAAACCGGGCCCAGGGCCCGGTTTTTCAAAAGTAATCCACTAGGATTTTGGATAAGGGATTGGATCAAATCCTGAAAATGGGTTTTTCAAAAGAAAAAACGGATTACATAATCGGATTAGATCATGTAATCCAATCTTTGTTTTGATCCGGATCAAACCTTTAGTTTGTGTTTTTTGTACCTCTTTTGTAGGATCTGGATCACTTTGATCCAAAAAACATGGATTAAACTGATCCCATCAGAAGGGTGGATTTAGCGTGGATTTCATGCCTAAAATGTCATGAAAACTTAAAAAATTTATTAAATAATACTATTTTTGGATCATGCAGTATCTTACAAGATATACTATTTATTCATAAGGTTTTAATTTTATTTGTTCATCTGTCAGGCTATAGTGATTATTGGCTTTAACGTATTTAGCCTTTCAGTATAGGCCTACAGCAAAGTAGAAAGAGTTTGGCCTCATAAAATCCCCCAAACAGCGGTCAAAACTGACCAAAAACAATCAACTTTATTCCGTCACTAATTGATATATATATATATATATATATATATGTATTCATCACAATGGAAAATTTTTTTCTTATTAGAATATTTATTAATGATGATAGCAATGATTACAGAATAAACAAAAAATGCAAGAAATGGCAATGATTTTTGAAATCTCTTTCAACAATTGCAAAAAGAGACTGAAAGGGCAGAAGCACAGCTTCGCCTGGCTGAGAAACAACTGACTCTAACCAAACTGCAGCAAACCAAGGCCAGACATGAGATCCCCCTTCTAAAGGATACGCTTCACATAAGATGAGGAAGTCTGAGATTGTGGAGTTTTTGACATTAAGTATTTTTTTAAATTTACATCTATATTTGAAACTTATTATAAATATCCTCAATGTACAGTGTTTGTGTTGTAGGTCTCAGATGAGCGGACTGCTGGAAAAGGATGGGGTGGGCTTTTTCTTGTTTTTCTTATTTATTATTATTATTAATTTAATATTTATTACATTTTCTTAGTTTTCATTTAAAAAAAATATAAAAAATATATATTGACCCCACGCTGGCTATTCTACTTGTCGCTCTTTACATATCTATAGTTCTACATTGTGATTTCCTATCCTGTTTGAGCACTGGTAATCCAGATTTAGTGATCCTGAAAAGTTCCTATCCAGATCAGATTGATCCAATCCAATGTTGCTTTGAAAAACTGGCTCAAAAAGTAAGCTGGATTACCTGATCACGGATCGCAAAAACAGAATTACTAAATCTGGATCAATTTGATCCGGATTAAACCTTTTGAAAAACCGGGCCCAGCAGATCAGCAACACATATCGTCACCTTAGAATTATAAGGTTCTATCTGACATTTGTCAAAATTGAATTGTTCACATGTTCTTATTAAATGACATCTTATTTACATTATATGATGATTTTGTATATGTTGTTTACATTAAGACTTTTTATTTAAAAAACAAAAAATGGTTTATCTCAAAGTTGAACTCTAGCTTGGCTCTATTAGGTTCTTTCTGTGAGCCAATCAGCATTTTTAATGCACACACGAGAAGCAATCAGGATCAGCTTTCTTTGTCATTTCGCCGGACTGCTCCATTGACAGCAGGAAACACAAAAATCATACAAAATCTGCTTAATGCCACACCACACAAAATTGAGATGCGTGTAAATGTGATGATTTGGAAGCATTTCTTGACATTAAAATTCATTCATTCATTCATTTTCTTTTCGGCTTAGTCTCTTTATTAAGCTAGGGTCGCCACAGTGCAATAAACCACCAATTATTTATTGTATGTTTTACACAGCGGATAGCCTTCCAGCTGCAGCCCATCACTGGGAAACACCCATACACAATCACACACACATACAGTATGGCCAATTTAAGCTTACCCAATTCACCTGTACGTCTTGTCTTTAGACTTGAGGGGCGGCATAAGCACATGAATGCAAAAATATGCTCAAAAGAATGACCACTGCATGTATACAAGTAAAGAATATTATCTTTATTGACAATAATGGGACAAAAATTGGGGGGACGGGGAATTCATCAACAGTGATCAACAAATGGACATTAAAAAGTAAAAAAGACAAACTTACAAGATGACATGACGAGGACCATAAAATATTTAGTCTTCATTTCCTCAGCGTTTAATTTCGATGCCACCTTTTGTTGGACGCCTTCTACATTCCCAGTGAAGGGTAAAGCTAGTTGCAGCACTAAGCCTTCACAAATCACAGGTGTACAATCAGAGAGCAAGAGAGCTAGCATTTGTACTGTAAATGATTGGTGAGATTGACGTTTTAAGATGTATTTCCATCTAAACATACATGCATGCATTATACATTTAAATCTATGTGAGATTAGTATGGGTAGATGCCATCTCACACGGTGAAAGGTTTTCAGATAATTAGTAGATAGTCTTGCTATCTATCTTCAATTAAGATTACAATATGAACTATTGTAGGAACTGAATCAAGAATAGTGGCACCAGAATGCCGTGTCCATTAAAACACAATGAATCTGATCACACTTCATGTGCATTTATTTAGAAGCAGCAGCCAAGTTCAACCCGAGTTACATGACATCCACAATTGAACAAATTACAATTAACATTACAGATCACAAAATTAAGTTGTACATCAAACAAAATGTACCAAAAAAAAAAAAAAACAACTGAGAACATGGACACAGAAATGCTTGTTTCAAGTTCAATCTTCAAGGGAATGATAATAAAAAAAAGTTCTTTTTTTTTTTTGCATTTCCCTTTTTGTTTGTAGCAAAATAATAACATTGGGAGAAGTCTTACATTGCTTACATCTTGTACACAAAATGCTTTTAAACTTTATAAAATTTATTTTAATGCTATTTAAAAGTACAGAAATACCTACAAAAGGCCACATGGCAGATAGTGTTTAAACAATTGAAATGACTCTCAAGGCACTAGTGTAAACGGGGCCTCAGGGAGCAGTTATTGGTTCATACACACTTTTACTACTAAAATTCCATGACTTTTCCAGAACTTTCAAGCACATTTTTATGACTTAATGTTTCATGTAATGTCTACATATACATGGTAAACAATAATAACAATGACGTTCAAATTTTTTTACAGCATATCATAGAACACGCAGCAATCTATTTTGTTTAAATTGTTGAATGTGTTTTTATATCCATGTCAAATTGATTTTGATAATGCTCATGCAGCAATGTGTAACAATGTGAGAGCAAGTTTTTGGTCAAGGACAGAAAAAGTAGTAAAGGCAACTAATCTATATTCAAGTTAGGGCTGCACAATATATGGTTTCAGCATCAATATCGTAATGTGTGCATCCGCAATAGGCACATGATATGCAAATGTTGGGATTAGGGTTTATTCATAATGGAGTAAAAGTTCATCATCTGCACGCATTTTTAAAGTGAGAGTTCACCCAAAAACTACTTACCATTACACCCTTTACTTGTTTCAAACATTTAGGAGTTCTTTTTTTATTGACACAAAAAGAATATAATTGAATAACTCCTATAGTATTGAAACAAGTGAAGTGTGAGTTAGGGATGCACGATATATCGGCGGCTATATTGTTATCGGCCGATAAATGCTATTTTTAAGATTATCGTTATCGATCCGATGTCTAAATTAGGCCGATATCTTTAAGCCGATAAATTAAGTAATTGTACAGACAATTAATCAACTCGTTGCTTGTCATGTTGTTGATGTAAGATGTATTCAGTTTGATCGGAATATTCATATTGATTATGACGAGCTCGTGAGCTGTCACCGCGTGCTCACACACACACTGTAGCACGAGGGAGAGGTGAATCCAGTCATAGAGGCTCTCGACCAGCCGCTCATTCTGTCTTTATATTCTGCTCTGTTAACCATAAAGTCAGCTCAATGCAGGTTTTGTATGAAAATCTGACTCTGATGGCAACTCTGCCTCTACAGTTGAGTAAAACTCAGCGGTTTATCATAAACTTTTCATCGATCATTTCCTCTGCAATTGACAGCAAGAACGAGCGCAGTAGCGCTGTCTGATTGACAAGCAGCTCCTACATGTGCAAAAGAATCTAAACCGCCAAATAGGATGTATCTGTGCCGCATTTTCTAAACGTACTATATATATTTAGCTGTTCACTTGTACAGTAGCTCTGAACGGTCAAAACACCTCTGATAAAGGCTTTTTCGGACATGACGTATTTGTACATCACTGTAACCCATTTTATTCAATACCATTTGGGCTGGTTTCAGTCCTTAGTGCTTTCATTTTCATCTTATTTAAATATATTTAACTTGCTTGTTGATTAAATCCCATTTTGTTATTTAACCTTATTAATTTTATGCAACAGTCAAGTTGCATGTTAATTTGCTATGAAGAACAGGAAGTAATGTATTTTTTGCATGCTGATTTATGTGAAATCATGAATATAGGTCTATAATCACCTTGCGATTTTGAAGTTAAAGCTTTTTTGCTTTGATTATAGGCCATTTAGTTTATAAGAGCAGTTCAATCTTTAATGAAGTTTGTTGTATACAAATATATCATTTTGAAATATTTACAAATATCGGCCTATACATATCGGCTATCGGCCTCCAAGTCTGAAGAATTATCGGTATCGGCCAAAAAAATCCATATCGGTGCATCCCTAGTGTGAGTAAACAGTGAGTACATTTTAATCTTTGAGTAAACTGTCCCTTTAAGGCCTGTGACTGTGTGAACATTTCAATATTTCAGAGTTTAAAACATCCAGCCACAAGAACATTTTTGTAACTTTAATAAAGATTAAATAAAATACAATGAAGACTAAGCAGTGTTGATTATTCAATGTCTGTAGCTGAATAGTGAATATCTGAAAACTAGAATTCACTTTCAACTTTACTATTTGTTTATCTATGCTTGTCATTTATTTGTTATATATTATTCCAGATTCACTCCTCTACAAAATCCCCTCTATCCAAATAAGCCTGTTAAATCATCTAGTGAAACTGTATTTACATCACAATATATCACAGAAATACAAAATATGGTAATGTCAGATTTTTTCCAATATCGCGCAGCCCTAATTCAACTATACAGATATTTGTTCAACTAATTTTCATGACTTTTCCAGAACTTTGTGGGTTTTTTTGTTTTTCCGAAACCTTTTAAGGCAGGGGTGTCCAAACTTTTTGGGCCGAGGGCCAGATGCAAAAAAACAAACGTTGTCGCGGGCCAAATTTTACATACATCACACAGACACGCGCATATATATATATATATATATATATATATATATATATATATATATATATATATATATATACAGTTGAAGTCAGAATTGTTAGCCCCCCTAAATTATTAGCCCCCATTTATTTTGTCCCCAATTTCTGTTTAACGGAGAGAAGATTTTTTTCCACACATTTCTAAACAAATTAGTTTTAGTAACTCATTTCTAATAACTGATTTATTTTATCTTTGCCATGATGACAGTAAATAATATTTGACTAGATATTTTTAAGACACTTCTATACAGCTTAAAGTGACATTTAAAGGCTTAACTAGGTTAATCAAGTTAACTAGTCAAGTTAAGGTAATTAGGCAAGTTATTTTATAACAATGGTTTGTTCTGAAGACTTAAGGGGCTAATAATTTTGACCTTAAAATGGTTCATAAAAAAATTTAAACCGCTTTTTATTCTAGTCGAAATAAAACAAAAGTCTTTCTCCAAAAGAAAAAATATTATCAGACATACTGTAAAAATGTTCTTGCTCTGTTAAACATCATTTGGGAAATATAAAAAAAAAAGAAATAAATCAAAGAGGGGCTAATAATTCAGACTTCAACTGTGTGTAGATAGACAGACAGACAGACAGACAGACAGACAGACAGACAGACCATAACAAGAACTACTGCTTAATTGAATGCATGTAATATCGACACACCCGGTGGTTATTTATTGAATTACGTTCATTTTTTTATAGCGGGCCAGATTCTATTATTATTTATAAAAAGCCTCGCGGGCCACTACAAAACTGATTGCGGGCCGCAGATGGCCCGCGGGCCGTAGTTTGGACACGTCTGTTTTAAGGCCTGGAAAATGCCATGTCAAAATTCCATGACTGTATAAACCCTGATTAAAACAAACAATCTTTTGTTTGTATCTTTCAAAAGTGCATTACAAATGCTAACTTTCAGGAACTATTTGAGAGCTTACAGGAACTGTCATTGCTAAATAAGTATCACCACTGCTGAACATTAAAAAAAAATGTTTCATTGGAGTCAATGAAGTTGTCGCAACTCTCTCTCTCTCCGTGGCTCAGGTGTAAACTAACTGAGGTAATTATGGTCAATGCTTTCTTTCCTTTTTTTTTTTAAATACAGCATAATAAATACTTTAATAATTTTAAAATACCATAAATTCTTAAATTTGAAGAGTTGATGCATTTGTAGCAGCAACTTAATGCACAGCTTTGGGCAGATCCCCATTGAGCTTGGGTCTAGTTTTAGGCACTTTAAAGAGTGGCAAATCACTAGATCAGAAGGCACGTTTATATGGAGATGGTCTGCACGATTATTGCACATAGGCTTAATATGCTGTAATTAGTAAATAGTGTGCTGTTAATACAGTACAATGCATCCAGTGTCAGAGAAAGGGGGGGTGAAGAAGTCCTGGGGATGAGGAAGTTAGAAGGATCAGAGCACACACGTGATTGTGACGATCATTCACCAGCAAGAAACAGCGAATGAAAACGTTATGAAAAGGGATTGGAATGTGCCTCTCAGTGGAACAATGAGACGGTGCTTACTCACTGAGTGAAGACACCTGGAATGAATGTAGGATGTGGGAAAAGGGTGCAGAGATGGTGAGCCAGTAACACAGAAAGCTTTGTGGATGAGATGGGCGCTCTTGATATCTTGGAGGAAAACAAAAAAAGTCATAAACAATCCTCTTAGCCGTTCTTAGCACTTACGGCAGGATGTGTTGCTGGTACAAAGTTAATTTTATAAGACTATATTGGTCAAATTTTTTTTTTACTTTAACTGAAATATTAATAATAAAGAAGTTTCATTGACATAATATTGTGCATTGATGTTACGCAAAATTATCCGTAATGCCTTATATAATGTCCTAAATGAGTAGAGCAGTCTTACCTTTTTCTTTGAATTTCTACACTTTAAACGTAACAGTTTCTTCCCATTTCTGCTTTGAGAGAGAGAGAGAGAGAGAGAGAGAGAGAGAGAGAGAGAGACTAATTAAGCAGCAAGCAGATGTTTTTTTCTGTACTTCTGTACAGTAGGTGATACTTGCCTTTTTTAGCCTTGTTCTTTTGATGACGGTAAATCACAAAACCCACTACAGCTGCAATCAGTAGACCAGCAGCACATATTGCAGCTACAGCACCAGCAGACAGACCTGAATTTGCTGCAGATGAAAACAGACAGAGATTATTGTAAGTGATATAAGCTACAAAAAAGGGTTAACTGTTACTGTAATGGGTATGACAACAAAAATATTTTAACAAATTCGGATGCAAAAGGATTATAGGATACAACAGGTATTACCACAACAAAGTTTCGTCAACAAAAATAAACACCATGTATGAACTAACACCAATATTCTATATTCTCACATGCTAAAATTATTTGGATTGAAATTTGATCCCAAGCTGCTGCAGCTCTTTTTTTGACCTGCAATATCTAATTAATACTACTCTCAGGATTAATGGATATTTAATAACAGTTAAGTTGTAACTTAAATGATGCATTAAATTAAAAACAGCAATTAAAAAGCAGGAAGCATATTCTTACTCTTGTCAGAATCTTGCGGGTCCACGTTGATAGGTTTATAATTTGTTTCAGGATCTGACATGATGAAAACAAAAATGATTCAACACTGAAAGCACTAGACATTACTTATTTGTAACGGAGTCTCATAACTAATATTAGTTTTAGGAACATAAATCATCAAGATCAAATGTTTGTTACATTTACATGTTAAACAATTTCACAACATTATTTGTAGAATGTTTAATAAATTGTACTTAGTTTAAAAGTTGAATAAACTTTTGCAAGTATCATAAAATCAGATTTTTTTTTTACATTGCACTAAATTAAGAGTTTTAAAGGATGATCTTGGCTTTATAAATTAATGTGTAAATGAAACTGACAAAATTGCATTTGTGCAGTAAATGTGTCACTGACATGTGGTGTTGATGTGAACATTAATACACAGATAATCAGACTAAAGTCTCTGAATGTCATGGTTTAAACGTCAGACAAAGTGTGAAAGGGAAAATTATACTAAACTCACCGCTGACAGAAACAATGCATGTTTTTATGGTGTTGCCCATGTTGCTGTTTGGTTTTTGAAATCACTTTAGTGCTGTCACACTTGCTGGTTCGGTTTATTCTTTGGCTAGTTCCTAGGCTACTACTTCTGATGATCTCTGCTTCATAAACTCCGGTGTGTTCAGCTGTGATGTTCGTGATGGTCAGAGATCCAGTCTTATAGTCCACCTCCAGTCTGTCTTTGAATCTTCCACTATCACCACCATACAGACAGCTCGTACTGGCCTCTCCATTAATTAGAGCGATGATGGTGTTGTTGAAATACCACAGCATAGGTTCAGTTGGTCTTTTGGTGATGTCAGTGTTTACAGTCAGTAAATCTCCAGCCTTCGCTGTCTTCTTGACATAAGCACCAACCACACCTGCAGACACAAATGAACAATTGTTTTATAAGGCTATAATAATTTTGACAAAACGACTGATCAAATACATAGATAAAAGGGTCTTTTAGCATTAAAAACGTAAATGATTAACATTTTTTATTCCATTCACCACGTTCACGCACATAAACAAGCGCTCACTGTAAATCACACTACTGCAAGCTGCGCGAGTAAACTTCCTTATTAAATCAATTATGGAGGTATACTGTTGGGTGCGAGATGATTCAGATACCACTGAGCATTTGACTGGTCCAAACACCAAAGAAACGCATTCGTCCAGCAAACGCTTTTTATCCGTTTTTTTTTAGTTTCCAAGAGTCATTATTTTCCGGTCGAGCAATGCTAAGCGACACCTGTGCATTCATTGGATGAATACAGTTAGCCTAAATAACGACGTTATCTCCGCGGATGTCACAACAAACTTTAAAGACTAATCCAAAATGTGTTCAGCCACTTGGTCACTGCCATACTTACAAAACAGCATGCCGATAACAAATAAGCCTGTTTTCATTTTCTTCTTCTAAATGTTAATGTCAGCCGATGAAAGAAGTCAAGCTGCAGTTTGGAGCGTGGAACGTCAACTAGACGCAACTAACGCCTGTTTCACACCGCAAGCGTCAGCGGCGCGTGAGCAGAGCGTGAGCAGCGCGTGTGTTTTCGGCGTCCATGTTAACAGATGCCCGTCAGTGGAAACGCGACATGATTTCGGCCTCATTTCTCAACCTCGCGGGCTATTGGCCCGGCCGGCCCGATTAAAGCCCTAGCTCGCACTGGCCCGATAGTGGAAATGCGGCTAATCATATAGTAACGGGTGCCATTTCCACTTTCCAATTTTCAAAATTATCATTAAGCTCTAAATTAATAAAACTACAAATTAAAATATTTCTTAATCCTCAAAAAAAAAAAAAAAAAACAGCTACTTACCCATTTTTTCATTATTAATTAGATTGTTTTTATTTATGCAACCATCAAAAGTATGTAGTCTAATCTGTTTCTTATTGGATTTTTAACGTGGAAAAATCAATTTGACATCTCAATTGCCCCATTGTTTACACTGAAAAAACAAACTTACTTTAAAAACACAAATCAACTTACATTTCTATCATCTAATAGACCATTTATAATTTTGAGTTTCTCTATGCATTTATAAACATGATTGTTTAATTGTGAGAACAGGGTTGCATTATATTAAATGCAACTAAAATAAAAATTCAATTTTCTGATTTTTAAAAATTTGATTAGATTTATATCAATATAAATTTAAGAAAGTCAAATTTGGAGGAATAATGTGGTGTAATTGTAGTGTAGATTTGGCTGACAACTCAGACCACGCTAGTGTATTGTCTAACCTATATATATATATATATATATATATATATATATATATATATATATATATATATATATATATATATATATTTAAATTAATTAGTAAATATAAAATAATTACTCCCTTGCTTAGAGTAACATTTTTTAATTCCCAGCACAACATATTTGTAATTTTTTTTGTGGATGTGCAGAGTTAAATTCTCTTTTGGACAGTTATATGCATTCTAACGTTGCTGCAAAATGCACTATTCAATTATTTAATTTTAATAGTATTAAATTATAATATAAAGTGTGTGTGTGTGTGTGTGTGTGTGTGTATAAAGATTAGATCTTTTTTTTTTTTGCAGTTAGCTAAAAGGGTCAAACTAATAAATTTCTGTTATATGACACCAATTTGTTTACCTATTGACATACACTCATATCGACCGTAATCTAATAAAAAATGTTTAAGTTTCATGTTTGCCAATGCTTTAAACACGTATTTAACGTACCTCTTTCATCTTGTTGCGTTTGGTTTGGTGTGATGATAAAGTTCTGGAGGCTTATAATAATACTGTACTGCCTCCCCCTACTGGACACATCAGGACAGATGTGATCCGTGTAGGTCATACGAATAAAGTTGAACCTTTTCTCCAATATAATCAGGGCCGGAGTGGGACTCTTTTTCAGCCCTGGAGTTTCAAGCCTCAGACCGGCCCACCTCAGTTCACCACTGACTATAATAAAATAAGGTAATTTCCAATTCAGTTTCTAATTACACTATTACGTCTTTTTTTGAGAAAACAGCTGTTTTAGAACTTCAAATGTTTAACAACCCTTACAGTATTATATGTCTTAACAATAAAAATGAAAAAAAAATTATCATTTAGATGAGGTCCGAACCCGGGTTGGTGGCGTTATAACCTAACGTGCTTACCACTGTACCACAACAGCTGTACATTGAATGGTGACTTATCTAGTTATAACATCATTAACCTGCAGGCTGCATCTTGCTCACGAGGCTACGAGAAAATAGATAAAAGAGCAGAGCTGCGGTAAAATAATGAATAAGAAGGCTGTGGTCAAGTAAATAAATAAATAATTTTTAAAAAGTGTGACTGCAGAGAGCAACAGATTCTGGAGCTAGGAACACCGGCCCTCGCGGCCAAAAAACAGACCGGCCCAACGGGAATTCTCCCGGTCCTCCCGATTAGCCAATCCGGGCCTGAATATAATGGATAGGGTCCTCTTGGTTTTTGTACAAACGACGTAGGTCATTTAAGTTACTCTCAGAAATGAACGGAAACATGATCTTTGCAACAGCACACAACCCGCCAGTGTTGTGCCGAAATCTGTGACCCGTCGAAAACTGTTCAGTAAAAATTTCACTCGGGAACGTGCTTGTCGCTCATGCACGCGACCGTGAACTCGCAGACACTGAAATCAAGCGATCAGCGTCGATCGGTGCTGTAAAGGGTTTTAAATGCTGCTATTCAGAATACAGGTTCATGGAAGAACTTTAACATAATCCTGATATTTTGACCATCCAAATTCTTGTAAAGAAGAAATAAAAAATGTATTTTGTCGCTGCTGTTGTCTCCTGATAGACTCGTATATAGTTTATGCATTACAAAGAACTGACACGACTGTAGATCCGCTTCACAGATTCTGAGGAAACATTCCATCTAAATATTCAACTGTATATGCCAGATTAACGTTTAATAATAATGTTTAATAAAGTGAAACAATCTTCTTTCTATTTGTAAAACATTTTGACCTGATATTAGACTATATATTTTATAAATTGTGTCTGGAATCTGAAATTCAGCTATTGAAATGCCATCCCTCTTTTATTTGTGTGAATAATAAAATAAATATTTTTGTTAAGTATACAAATAAAACATCTTCAATAAATTAGAATGTCATTGAAAAGTTGATTAACTTTACTATTTCATATATTAAATAAACACTTGAAATATATCAATATGTGTGTGTAATCTATGATATACGAGTTTCACATTTTGAATTTAATTAGTAAAATGAATCACCTGACATTCTAATTTATTGACATCCACCTGTATAAAGCTATCTGGTCATCAATGTTTTATAAAACAGAAATAGGTCTCACACAAAATTATTTTTATTATTAATTAAATTAAATTTATCAATTATAATTCGGTTTATACAGGGATAACACACTTCTAAGGCTATGCATCTAATCTGTATCACATGTAATTTGAACTCAGTAATTAGCATTTGTAATGAACAAACTATACGATTTTTTCAACTAAATCTCATAACTAAAATATTTAGTTTTACCAGTCTACCAGGGGCCTGTTTCAGTAAGGAGGTTCAAACAACTCGGAGTTTAAACTTGAACTCTGAGTTGATTTACCGAGAGATTAAAAACTCCGAGTTTTCGGTTTCAGAACAGCTGATCTGAGTTAGGTCAATCAACTTTGAGTAGACCAACTCAGAGTTAAGCGCGCACACCATGACTGTAAAAAGGCATTATCAATGGAGCGCAGATATTATGAGTGACCATGGCAACATCTTAAAAAAAGAGATCAGCATTTCTTTCTCCAGCTGAACTTGATGTGCTCATGCAAAGTCATAGCAAATATGAGCGTATATATTTAAAATGAAGCAACCATCAGTGAAACAGAGACAGTTAGCCTGGGAAAACAGCTGCTTAAGTTAATGCGTAATTTTTAATTTTAAGTATTTAAATATTTAAGTATAATAAAATAAGTGATGTAAAGTGTGATGTTTATAAAATGTTTCTAAACTTTTATACACGTTGACCAGTTTTAATAGATTAAAAAGTGCACTTGTGTGTCTGCCTTTTTATTAATCAAGTGATAGAGGTTGATAACATTTAGAAGGTAAGCAGAACTAAAAATAATTTTTAGAAAGAATAATAATCCCATTAATCTAGTAACAGTACATGTCAAAGGTTAAGCTAATTATTTATGAAAAAGTTTTTGGACAGTTTCCCCCCACAGTCCAAAGACATGGGGTACAGGTGAATTGGGTAGGCTAAATTGTCTGTAGTGTGTGTGTGTGTATGTTTCCTAGAGATGGGTTGGGGCAGGAAGGGCATTCGCTGCGTAAAAACGTGCTGGATTAGTTGGCAGTTCATTCCGCTGTGGCGACCCCGAATTAATAAAGGGACTAAGCCGAAAAGAAAATGAATGAACTTTAATGTAGTACAGTTTGGTATATTTACCTTTGGCCCACAGCTCTCAATATTTGGTTTTTGCCCTTTATACGAAAAACTTTGTGCACCTTTTTAACATCAAATTGTACCTTAAGATTGATCAATATTTTATAGTGTATATGTTTAAGGTTTTTGCATTACTATGCTGTTATTTATTCATTATATAATCAGTGGCATACAATGACAATAACATTGCTTATAGCAACAATTTCTGTAATGATATATCGCACAACAAAAATTCCTTATCGTGACTTGCCTATTCCCAACATCTCAAACTGAAGGCAGAGAGAATCAATAAAGCAAACGCTCAGATCAGTTATTGACTTTTATTTATTTTTTTGTTGTTGAATGCATTATGAATTACAAAGCATTTATGCAACAAAATCAGAACATTGGATAAAGTCAGGTTCACAATTCCTGTGTTATCTTAACTTTTATTGATAGAGTCAAAGGTTTTTACATAATAGACTCAATTAGACAGAAAAACACTCCAAAGATTAATAAAAAATTACATGTTAGCCGGCCGATAGCTTTCTGCAGCTCTCACATGGTCGCCCACTAAAGCTAAGCAGGGTTGCGCCCGATCAGTACCTGGATGGAGACCACATGGGAAAGCTAGGTTGCTGCCGGAAGTGGTGTTAATGAGGCCAGCAGGGGGCGCCCAACCTGCGGTCTGTGTGGGTCCTAATGCCCCAGTATAGTGACAGAGACTCTATACTGCTCAGTGAGTGCCGTCTTTCGGATGAGACGTTAAACCGAGGTCCTGACTCTCTGTGGTCTAAAAAATTCCAGAGTAGGGGTTTAACCCCGGCATCCTGGCCAAAATTTGCCCATCATGGCCTCCTAACCATCCCCATATCGTAATTAGCTTCATCACTCTGTCTCCTCTCCACCTATAAGCTGTTGTGTGGTGTGCGGTCTGGCGCAAAATGGCTGCCGTCGCGTCATCCAGGTGGATGCTGCACACTGGTGGTGGCTGAGGAGATTCCCCCCATTGTGTAAAGCACTTTGAGCTATATAAATGTAAGGGATTATTATTATTATTATGTTATGTACAGTTGAAGTCAGAATTATTAAAGGGGCAAATAATTTTGACCTTAAAATGGTTTTTAAAAAATTAAAAACTGCTTTTATTTTAGCCAAAATAAAACAAATAAAACCTTTTCCAGAAGAAACAATATTATCAGACACACTGTGAAAATTTCCTTGCTCTGTAAACATCATTTGGAAAATATTTAAAAAAGAAAAAAAATTCAAAGGGGGGCTAATAATTCTGACTTCAACTGTATATATATCGACGTAAAACATTCAGACTATAGAAAAGTGTAAATCAGTTTAGAGCAGTGGACATTTATGACAAACTAATCATTTAAAAAAAACTTTAAAATATGTATTACAGCTGACATCTAAAGACAAATATAAAAATTATGAGATAAAGTGAAACAAGAGAAATACTGAGAAGTGTATTTTGGATGCTTACTTTTACATTTGACTGAAACAAGCCTAAAACTTCAATATGATCTGCAACAGAAGCACATAGTTCATCTCAAAGCTGATCCGCAAAAGTTGTATTTATTATCATATGTTTTTGAGCGCTATGAAATTAGAAGAGCATAAAGATACGTTCGTTAGTTTTGAAGCTCAAAGCAGAGTTAATTTACACAGACAATGTTGATTTCTTTACATCAAACATGAAATTGACTAATGTAGAGTATGGTCCATAGATAAAAATTATGTATTTATTTTTATAAAGGGGTCTGAGTCTCCTCTGCGCGAGTTTATGACCACTGGTGCCACAAAGTCTGTGTCTCTGGGACACATATAACCTGTACGCCTTGTACCTTTAGGCCCATGTAAAGCATCAATAATGTCAGAATGTGCAAATCAGGCTACTCCTAAGGGCATCATGTGTTGTACCGATATGCAGCTTACACAATCCTACAGCTCATGAGCTAGGAGGCATGATCGTGATCAATACGGCTTACATTATTCAATTCTCTGAGTTAATGTTCCTTCGCATGCTATTGCAGAGACAAAGAAGATCTCCCACTAAAACTTTGCCTCGAAGCGATTGGTCAGTCTGTAAAAGGGGAGGCACCTGTATTGCAAACTCCACGCCTCAAGAAAGGACATCGAAAAAGACTTCCAGCACATCGGAAGAAACTCGCAAAAGAGAGAGACCACAAAACCCTAAACTCCAGGTATTTTAGTTATGCAAATAAGCTGTGCCCCTTTATCAAAAAGGTGTTTTCATAATCTTGGTGATCCTTAATAGTGCGTGGAACTGAGGTAGATTTGCAACTCTTTATCTGAACTCTTTATTTCCTCGCTTTTCTGTTTCTTTCTGTTATATGTTCTATAGACCCGTATATTTATCTACATTCAGTATACATTTGTTTTATGTTTTATGTTATGTTCGTGCGTTTGTTCAATAAATAGTCAATAAATCCCATTATAATCAAATGGATTGTATTGCTTGTGAAAAAGTCACTGAATGACAGATTCCCCCTGCTTAGCTACTATAAGTTGATCAAAACTTATGAATGATTGATCTACTTCACAAGGAGTAGTAATAATTCCCTTTCTAAATAAATAGATCATTACAGAGTCCGCTCAGACGAGCGGGCGAGTTCTGGTTCTATTTATTTGGTCAAATTAACAATAAGTTAATCCAGAATATTAATGATTAATAATAATTTGTTATTGTTGATAATTAATATTCATAATCCGAGAGTCCGCTCCGCCAAAATCATATATATGTATATATTTGTTTAACCAAATAGACAGAAGGTTAAGCCGGAATAATAATAATAATAACTCGTTATTATTGATTATTAATATTCATAAACTGAGCTAATTTTGCTTTTCGCAGTTAAAATTATCCATTTATCTACTAATTCCACCATTTCCATACGTTAGTTTAGAAAGCTAGTTAGTATTGCACTTTGATACATTTCTGCAGTAAAGGCTTAAAGTGGCTATAAGAAAAAAAAAACTGAAATATATTACATTTACATGCTCATACTTGAGTTTTGTAGGCTATATTTACACATCATTTTTTCACATCTACTTTTTTGAAAGCTCTTTTCATCTTGCTGTATAAATGTTTTAAAATATTCATATTTTTTCTTTTAAAGGGACAGTGCATCCAAATATGGAAATTCTGTCATCATTTACTCATCCTGATCAAACCGGTTTGAATTTCTTTCCTCTGTTGAACACAAAAGATATTGTGAAGAATGTTAAAAACACAGCAGCCATTGAGTCGATAATTTGTTTTCTACTGTGGATGTAAATAGGTGCTTTTATCTTTAAAAATATTGTGTTTTATGTTCAACAGAAGAAACTCTTACAGGTTTAAAGCCACTTGAGTGCAAGTAAACAGAGAGAAAATAATATTTTTTTGGGATAAATATTATTTTATTCTTTGGTGAATTAAGCAGACTCTCTCATCAGTAGTAAATAGCCAATCACATGACTAGTGTTGGAGAAAAGGAATTTATTTTTATTGATTTTGTGTCTTTATTTTTTATTAGAAATTTGTTTAGACTAACAACAGATTAATCAATCTTTTTTATTGTATTATGACACATCTTGACCAGATACACTTCCTCTTTTTTTTACTGTGTTGCATACTTTTGTAAGGGACATGCTGACAAGTGAAAAAAAGCAGAATAAGAATTAGTGTGGGGGCCTTTGTTTAATACAAAGTCTAAACATGCCACAAGTTGTCATAATGCTTGTATAAGTTGTGAAATATATTAAAGATGCACTTAATTGTTCAGTTCTGCTATGCAGAGAAGGGTCGCAGAAAGAGGAAGTATGTCTAGGGGTTACAAAGAGCCAAAGGACTGCAGAATGACTGATAAGTGACGTTACACCAAAACTCCACCGGTTAATATCAGTTGTGTATATATGCTGGAGTCAGGAAATGTATGTTAGTTGCGAACCTCTTGAATGTAATTCTTGTATTGCATTGGAGTAACATAACCCAGAACTCTGTTATCAAATTATTCATTTGTATCTAATAAATTACTGATATTTTTGGCATTGAAGAAAAACACTCTCCAGTCCTTTTCTTATTGAACACGCATGGAGTTGGCTTCATATTCCAACACTAGAAACATTCAAACACCCTGACTGAGTATTTTCGATTACAGCCTTTTTATGTTTCAAGGCCTGTGATTGGCTGTTTGTTACTGATGTCGCACTTTCATCTGTATGCGCTCATTTACTCATGATCAAAGCTTGAGTTTACAGAGAAAGCTGACAATCAGTGTCATTAAACCAACAAAGCCTGATTACATTTCAACTAATGCTGTAATCCTGAATCTGTAAAGCCAGCATCACGATACAGAGCCCAGGGTTAGTGAGGCTATAGTTTGAATTAAGTCTTGCTTTTTTCAGATTATATATACATTTTTTTTGTAACAAGCTGTTTAAACATAGGCCAATCAATAATACCCGAAAAGAAAACGCAAAAGCACATTTCGTATACCTTTTTCGTAATTTGCTTAAAATGGATACACTGTGGTAGATATTTGCTGATCTTACAGGATCCCATCAGATCGTCTGACGCTTTTCTCCTCCTGCAAAACAACAATGAATCACAGAATGTAAGAGAAGGAAATGAACAATATGATTTAAAACAACAGAGCTGCCAAGTACCTGAACAGAATTCTGTTTAAAATGTTTATTTCACAAAACCTTTTATTTTTTGTCAGCATGGTGATTAATCAGTTATCTTTATAATCACACTAGAAGTAAAATAGAATCTTACCTCTATTTTTGAATTTCTTCTGATCTTTTTGTTTGCATATTCTCTTGCAACAGCACACCACAAGAATTAAAATAGTAAGTGCCAGCAGTGGAGAAACAACAAAGAATGGCAGTCTCCAAGGGTCAATCTCCAGATCTTTGTTACCTAAAAAGAGACGGTCATTAGCCACCATCGCTGTACACAGGGGTGTACGATTATTACTACAGATACATGATGGGAGCATTTGTAAACACGTTTGAAAGCCCAAGACAGCAAACATGTCTCCTCTGAAGTTATAATAAGCAAAATGATTCATCAGTGCAGGAAATTAACATGATCTAAAACAGTCGTCTCTACTAACTGCTTCTAGTTTGTTTACGGTATTCACAAACTCAACAGGTATCTTACTTAATCACACAAGGATGTAACGTATACAGTTGAGGTCAGAATTATTCGCCCCCTGTTTATTTTGTTCCCCTAATTTCTGTTTAATGGAGAGAAGACTTTTGTAAATACATTTATAAATTTAATAGTTTTAATAACTCATTTCTAATAACTGATTTATTTTATCTTTGCCATGATGACAGTAAATAATATTTGACTAGATATTTTTCAAGACACTTCTATACAGCTTAAAGTGACATTTAAAGGCTTAACTAGGTTCATTAGGCAGGTTAGGGTAATCAGGCAAGTTATTGTATAATTACCATATTGTATATGGTTTGTTCTGTAGACTATCAAAAACAATATAGCTTAAAGGGGCTAATGATACTGACCTTAAAATTGCTTTTAAAAATTAAAAACTGCTTTTATTCTAGCAGAAATAAAACAAATAAGACTTTCTAAAGAAGACAAAATATTATCAGACATACTGGGAAAATTTCCTTGCTCTGTTAAACATAGTTTGGCAAATAAAAAAATACATAAATAAATCAAAGGGGGCTAATAATTCTGACTTCAGTTTTACACAATAGATTACTATTAGTCACCCAATAATGCCACAAAATGTGGATATATCATACATCTAAAGCATGATGGGTAAATAAACTAGTCCTCATCAACACATTTAATAAATATACCATAAGAAACCATAAAAACTTTGATTTCACTTTTAATCAAGTGTTCTTTTCACTCGTGGTTCTCATCAATTCCTTAGTTAATTGATTGTTGTAGAAACTGCAGTGCAATTAGTTTATGGGGTTAATGATTTACTAACTATATGCATGTTATTTGTTATACTAATCCTTCAGAAACACATCCGTAACAAATTCTCTGTTTTGTCATGACTAAAGCATTAGAATCATCGCCATAATGTAAAGGAAAAATCTATTGCTTCATTATTGCTAGTCCTAAAGTGTCGTTTCTGAATTAGCAAGAGAGGCGTTAGCTCAACTGTTTATATGGTCTGTTTTACATGTGAATCTGTAGTGGAATAAATTAGTTCCTCACATAAAAGTGGCTTTAAGACACACAAGATATAATGTGGGCATGAGTATGGTATAATCACATCAGTGCTGATATACAGCATGCAGTTTATGAGTATCACACTGCTCATGCAAGCATCTTCTGATTAAAGCTTTGTTTTAATCAAGTAAATTGTTATCTTATTGTGTCACTAACTAAAATGTGAAATTTTTGAAGACTTATTTTGTAATGATAAGGGTTTATTTGTTAAATTAAACATTATTCTTTCTTTTGTAGAGCGTTTTTTAGGTTACTTTTGCATTTGATTCAGCCTTTCTCTCTTGCAAAGCTTATTAGTTTGTTGTCCTTATTGAGTTGCTGCATTAAAATTCCTTTAATTTTGTCAGTTTTTTGTTAAAGCTTAGCCTCTAATAAATGAACTGACTTAACTCTCATAAGTTGAGCTGGAAGCTGTAATCTACACTCAATATGATTGTGATTCGTAACAAATAACAGGAGTTTTAGTTTGTGCCTTCAGCAAACAGCACAGTTAGTATGTGTAGTATTGATCAGACAGTGCTTTACAGTGCTTTGCAGTGTGTATATTTATACACATTATAAATATACACACAGATATACTCACAACAGACAGACAGAATGATTTTCTTGAATATGACATGCCGGCTGCCCATGATGTCGAGGTGATAAACTCCACAGTCTGTGTTTCTGATGTTGTCAATGATCAGAGATCCAGTCTCATTATCCACCCTCAGTCTATCTCTGAATCTCTCATCATGAACATAGGAATGAGCTGTTTGGTTGATTTCTGCTATGACAAAGTCTTCAAGTCTCCATTGTACCAGGTCATCATCGTCTAATTCAACACCAGATTCTAGAATGACAGAATCTCCCATCTTCACTGACAGCTGATTCTCTCCATCTGTCTCAACGTAAGCAAAGCAAAACATTTACAGACAGAAACAACCAAACAGTAAAACACTGTCAGCTATTCTATATATATGATAGAGGAAATTTAAAGACATAAATGAAGAACATTCACCAGATTAACAGAAATGCAGATTACAATAATAATAATAATAATATTTTAATGTCTATACAATTAACTAATATATAACTAAAGTGTTTACAGTAAATTTCATGGATTATTATTACATTTAAACACTGAACTGGCTCACCTCTGATGGTCACATTGAATGAATTGTGTAATGTGTGATATTTCCCCTTGACATCCAGCTCATATATTCCAGAGGTGTTCGGTCCGATATTAGTGATGATGAGATTTCCATTCCGATTCAGGTGCAGTTTGCCTTTAAAGATCCCATCGGCTTCATTGTCAAATGTAGAGAAGATCTGTTTATCTTTTATGATTCTGGCAATAACATGTTCCTTTTTAAATCTATATACGATCTCTTCATATTTCTGTATTTCAGTAATATTAGTGTGCAGAACAACAGAGTCTCCCTTTGACACAGACACAATCGTCATTTCATCAAATCTGGGGACACCTGAAGAATAAAACAGGAGATGTTTGCTGAGTTATCACTTACATAACAGCATCAGTAAGGAGATTTTTAGAAAAAAAGACCAGCTAAATCCAACTAAAACCAGCTTGACCAGCCTGGACATAGCTGGTCTTGGCTGGGCTCCCAGCCAGACCAGCTAAGACCAGGCTGGAATTGGCTGGAAACCAGCCTGGAAATGGCCAAAACCCCTCTAAAACCAGCCTGGTCGACCAGCTAAAACCAGCCAACCAGCCTAGGCTGGTTTTTTCAGTAAGGTTTTATGCTGCAAAAACGATTTCTCCTGTTTCTCATCCACATTTCGCAAATCTTTTTATCAATAATTCGAAAACCTCTGAAGCATGCCATGGTTATTGAGGTAAAGTTGGTTTTATATTCAGATATTTGATCCCAATAATATCCAGCTGCAGGCCTGCAGAACCACACACGTTTTAGGCACACACAATCTGGCACACACAATCTAGGCAAACCATATATGGTTACGACGGATGTTAATGTTATTAACGTCTTTTTGAACATCATCATCGATATATTTTGATATATATATGATTAATAAATATTGTACACAATAAACAATAGCGTTTACTTTACTTTATTTCACAAATACTGCGATCGAGATGGCCGAATGGGGAGCATTGTTACCGATTGCCATTCAATATAATAGACTGAACAGGTTTTAATCAGTCATTATAGCTGATCAGTCATTATTATCTGACAATTATATGGCAAATACTTGTTTGCTGGCCTTGCTGAACGATCTAATTTGGACAGGTTTAATTTATATGAAAGATTAATTTATAATCAAGGAAATAATAGCAAGTTAATATAGGCAATAATACAGTATATGTAATAAAAATATTTTTACATGTAACAAAAGTATAACACTATATTCATATTTTACTCAAGCGATTTTAAAGTTTTTATTTGCATAACTTTCTAATAACCTTTTAATTAATGATTTCCCACATTTAATACTGTAGTAATTTATAGTACGCAATAAATAGTTTTTAAACCCAAATTTAGCAATAGGAACAAATTAACTATTAATAATAAAAAATAATAAGTATATATATATATATATATATATATATATATATATATATATATATATATATATATATATATATATATATATATATATATATATACTTATAACAGCTGTGACACTTTAGTAAAAGACAGTAGTTTATATATAAACTTATAATTATAATCAGATAATCAGTTAAGATAATCAGTTTATAACTATATATATTGTTTAAATGATTACCTATATTAGGCTAATTTATTTAAAGTGACACATTATTGCTTGCTTTTTATATTTTACAACAAAGTGATTTTAACCAAGTATGATAATATTAAGATCTTGAATTAGTTTATTGCACTTAATCCTACAATTAGACGGTCTATAATATTTTCTTTGTATATGTGGAAAATACACTTATGACTTTATTGTGTATGAATAAAGTCATAAGTGTCTTTAATCATGCTCCCATATTGTTTACCATAGTACTTCGACTATTAGGCCTGAAATCACATACAAGTATGACTTGAAAACAACATTAGCACTATTGACTGTAAACAATACTGTACGTTGATAGTCATTGGCTACTAATATGATTTTACTATTTAGCAGGTAATATGTTTGTGAAATTATATTATTTAGGAATAAGTCTGAATGTGTGAATAAAAAAAATCAATGCCTTAATTCTGAGCAAATACCGTAAAGCCCTTATATTTTAGCTCCCCCGCGTGGCTTTGTGCTCTGCGCAACTCAGAATTTCCTAGAACAAAACTGCGATTTTTCATGCGAAACCGAAAGTGCTGATGGCAGCTCTAGAAAAAAAAACACCTACCGATAGCGAAAACTGGTAAAAGAAACAGCACCGGTGTTACGGTTTAACTGGTGACCGTGTTAACTGGTGTCCCTTTCCAGATGTAAGCTATTCACGTTTGCAGATTGGCAGATTCGTCACTTTTTCACAGCAACAAAACATGTCCATACCAAATAAAGATTCTTATTACTTGGTGTCAGTGTCATTGTGTGCATTATTGATTTTAATATCTGTGTAGCAGAACAGTATATAACCAAAGTAAATAAAAAAATAATTAGAATTGACATGTCTTTAACAGGATTCGAACCCGTGTAGTGAAAAGGTTTAGCACACGTATCAATCAACTTATCTAACTGAGCTACTCAGAACTCTAAACGAAGCGGTCTGTTTTAATATATTTGTCAATTAAAACATGCCTTGCTGTGGTTGTGGACCCGTGTTAACATGTTTCCATCGATGTTAACATGTTTACATGTTGTTTAGTTACATGTACTCGCGTTAACGTGTTTCTACAAACTCTCCCGCTGATAAAATAGCTCTCTGTGACTAAACGATGCTTCATCAGTTGCTCAAACCATGTTTTTTCTTAGTTCTAGACTCATGTCTACCTGTGCCTTTGGAGTCGTGTTAACTCGTGACCCATGCTCATACATGTAACGTAAATAAAGATTTTATCCAAAAAATGAATACAATGACGATATTATTATGCAACGTATTATGTCTAATATATATAATATATATTTCATATATAATATTATGCAACAGAATATTAATTGAAAATCGCAACATTTCAATGTATGGTCTTGGTCACATCTGTATCAAGGTACTTATGAACATGATTTGGCTACATACGATAAAATTACTAAAAGCTGCTAAGCCTCACGTTTTATCAGTGCTTGATAGCTCAATTAGATAGCACGTATGTTCCATTCATGCTTCTCTTTTGTTAGTAGGTTCGAATCCACATACGAGTTTTGTTTATGTAGCCTGATTTTTTTAATTCTCTTTAAAATAAAATGGGGGGGGGGGGGGACTGCGATTTTTAACGTATGCTTATTTAGCGGAACATCGTAGTCATTTAGAGCTATTCTGAGAAAATATCAGCTCGTTTAACTTTGTAGACACAGACTAACACGAGTCAATGGGACTATTATATTCTGATTGCATAATATTCTAATATTCTGTTGCATAATATTATATATGAAATATATATTATATATATTAGACATAATACGTTGCATAATAATATCGTCATTGTATTCATTTTTTGGATAAAATCTTTATTTACGTTACATGTATGAGCATGGGTCACGAGTTAACACGACTCCAAAGGCACAGGTAGACATGAGTCTAGAACTAAGAAAAAACATGGTTTGAGCAACTGATGAAGCATCGTTTAGTCACAGAGAGCTATTCTATCAGCGGGAGAGTTTGTAGAAACACGTTAACGCGAGTACATGTAACTAAACAACATGTAAACATGTTAACATCGATGGAAACATATTAATACGGGTCCACAACCACAGCAAGGCATGTTTTAATTGACAAATATATTAAAACAGACCGCTTCGTTTAGAGTTCTGAGTAGCTCAGTTAGATAAGTTGATTGATACGTGTGCTAAACCTTTTCACTACACGGGTTCGAATCCTGTTAAAGACATGTCAATTCTAATTATTTTTTTTTATTTACTTTGGTTATATACTGTTCTGCTACACAGATATTAAAATCAATAATGCACACAATGACACTGACACCAAGTAATAAGAATCTTTATTTGGTATGGACATGTTTTGTTGCTGTGAAAAAGTGACGAATCTGCCAATATGCAAACGTGAATAGCTTACATCTGGAAAGGGACACCAGTTAACACGGTCACCAGTTAAACCGTAACACCGGCGCGCATCTCATCATGATGATAAAGTTGTGGAACACGAATGACCTCCAACTATAATTAGGATTTTAAACGTTATGTCCTCTGTAATGTCATGCACATACACCACATCCTCGAATTACGGTAAAAGAAGCAGAGCTAATTTGATTGTTTTTTATAAAATCAAAAAGCGAAGTCCTCTATCTAAAACGGCCAAATCTTGTTATGGCTCTGTACTTCTTCTTCTCATGAGTTTGTTGGCGGTTGGCATATAACTTGTAGGTGCGTTACCGCCACCTGCTGGTTAGGGCTGTGGCCCATGATCGCACTTTCTATCCATCTTTAGAAAAGTAAAAAAAAAACTAAAAAAAAAAAAACTACACCCCTTCCGGGGTTCCGTACAATATAAACATCCTCTGAAACGAAACTGAATGTGTGGGATTTGACCACTGCAAGAATGAGTAGGCCATATACACCAGTACTCGTGCGCCATCTAGAGTTACATCAGAGAATTCACCATTACAAGACTAACTTTACTCATATATAGGCTAATAATGAAAAGCAAAGTTTTTAAAAATAACAGTTCAGATAAGTGAGAACATACAAAAAACTAATATTCCCAAAACAATATAAAATGAAATGTGTAAAAATTAAAAAACATAAAATATAAACGTTACCTTAAACTTTGTGAACAAAACTATCTGAAAGACAGAGCTTCGCTTTCCTTCTGAAACTGCCTTAATAACTTAAAAAAAAAAAAAATCTACAAACAACAATGCATAATGTCAACGTGAAAGAAGCTTGTTTTGCAATTTTTTTTTAAAATTAGAAACTGGAGAGAAATAATCAGTTTAAAGGGTTAATCTATTTAAGGAAGAGAGCACAGAGATGTTTAGGTTAGTTTGCTCATAGGCCTCAAACCACAACATCCACAATGCCTTGATCTGAAGGCAGAAGAGCTGTTCATTCACTCCCAGCAATACTGAGAAACTGAACCTGCAACCTTTCAATTACAAATCCAACTCCATCAAATCCAACCATGAGCTTCAATGCTTTACGATGCTTCATTTTACATCCATAGTCTATAATGTTGAATTGTGTGCAGGAGCGGACTGGGACTAAAAATCAGCCCTGGCAGGCACTGTAGCCAAACCAGCCCACATTACCACACCTACACAGCCCCATCCACGGACACGCACATTTAACACTTTTATAGGTGTAGAGTTGGTGAAATAATATAAGCAGTACCATATTTAATAAACATTTAAGCATTTAATGTATGTGACTGAAACAAAAACAACCCTTTTCTAACAAATTTATACATGCAATCATTTCATTCATTCATTTTCTTTATGGCTTGGTCCTCTTACTAATCTGGGATCGCCACAACGGAATGAACTGCCAACTTTTCCAGCATATGTTACGCAGCGGGAAAATTTTTTTTATGGGTTCAGTCCAAACACACATATAATTTTAGGACAATTAACCTAAAAAATGAAGAGATCGGTGAGAACAGAGAAAATATCAGCATTCCCAAAACAATGTAAAAGGAAAATATATGTAAAAATTTGAAGACCTAAATCATCAATGTTACCTTCAACTTTTTATTTGGAAACACAGATGTCCACTTTTCTTCTTATACAGCCTTATTAACTTAAAGATTCTACAAACAATAACACACAATGTCAATGTGAAAAAAGCTTGTTTGAAATCTTTGCAAATTTATTAAAAATGTTAAACTGAAGAAGTCAGTTTAAGGGTTAATCTATTTAAGGAAGAGAGCACAGAGATGTTTATGTTAGTTTGCTCAAAGGTCACAGTCACAACACCCACAATGCCTTGATCTGAAGGCAGAAGAGCTGTTCCTTCACTCCCAGCAATAGTGAGAACTGAACATGCAACCTTTCAATTACAAATCCAACTCCAGAATCTTTAGCCTCATTGCTTTACAATGATTCGTTTCCACATCCATAGTCTGTACTGTTGGTGGAGATTAATGCTTGAGCAGCGTGAGCATGTGACACCTAAACTGTTCAGATCATGAGTCAAAGTGAAACCTGAGGTAAGTGTGATCTGTGCATACAGCTTCTGCATTCAGTGTCTATATTTAAACATGTGATTCGCATAAGTGTGATCTGCTGTTGCCAAAACAAGAATATACAGAAACAAACACTAACCATCCTACAGTCTCCATTTCACCAGCAAAATATCAATCATATAGAAAATTTTTTGCAATTCAAGTTTCAAAAAATGAAAAAGAAAAGCCACAAAATTTACTTTGATCCGTCAAGATCCATCTTAAAGGGCAGTTTTAATTATAAGTTTTAGTTTAGTTACATTTAAAGAAGGTACCACTTATAAAAAATGATCTGCTGTGATGAACAAGTCCTAATATAAGTGACATCAGAGCAGACTCTTGCCATATCTGTACATGCAAAACCTGTGGTTGGTGGTCAAATCCTCTGAGTGCGGAAATATGTTCATATTGTGTTTTAACACTGTCCTGTTAGCTACAATCTATCAGAGACGTGTTCAAATAATTGAGTCAATATTACATGAAAATGGCTCATGTGTTTGTTTTGGTCTGCTTTTGGCATCTGACTGGTAAGTCCAGCTCATTTTAAGTGGAAAATCATGAGTTTTAAGTTTTATGTCATTAACAATTTTAATCAGTGGATTTTCAAATTTGACATATGTACACTTACAAAAATTAGAAATCAGTACTACACTTACTGTGCATGTGCATAAACACAGATTTGCAGTTGTGTAAAAACAAGTACTGTCAATCAATCAGAATTCGGACATTTGATAATAAAACTAATTTATTAAAAAACATTGTACTGATCATTTTCTGTTAATAATTTATCCGTCTATTTTTAACAGATTATTTATTTACAGTGTATGTTGAATTATTGTCATAAATAACTTTAGACCTGCTTGTTTTCTCATCTTTGCCATGCTATATGGTATGACACTGATCTGAATCACAGTGGAACGTTTTATTTTTGAGTACAATTAAAGTTTTACTGAGAAGTGATTTATCCATGAATTTTAAGTAATTAATACATTTCATCCAAAAAAAAAAAAAAAATGTTTTTCAGGTGTGTTGGGAGAGTCAGTGTTAGTGTTGGAGGGAGATTCAGTGACTTTACACACTGGGTTAACTGAACTGCTGGAGGATGAACTGATTAAGTGGAGGTTTGGAGCTGAAAACACTTTAATAACTAAAATCAATGTAATGGACAACAGAATCACCATATATGAAGATGTTCTTGATGGGAGATTCAGAAACAGACTGAAGGTGGATCAAACTGCATCTCTGACCATCACGAACATCACAACTGAACATGCTGGAGTTTATCAACTACAGACCAACAGCCTGAGCAAGAGTTTCAGCATCACTGTTTATGGCAAGTTCAATACCAATTTCCTAAATACAGCTACAAAATGAATGTACTTTAAGTGTGCTTTTACACTAGCACTTTTGGTCCGCACCCGAGTTTGTTTGACATCATAGTACAGTACGTTTAGCTAGTGTGAACGTCTTCTGAACTCGGGTGCGTACCCGTGAACTGTACGCGAGTTCGCCTAAAGTCCCCATGAAATCAAAACTAAATATTTTGATTTTGTTAGCTCACATTGATAGTTTTTTGGTGAACAACTGATGTGTGCATGTCATTAAGAAAAAAATAGTTTACCCATGTAATCTAAAAATGCACTTCCTGTTTGTTTTCAGTTAAGTTGTCAGATTAGAGGTATTGGGTGTGGCTAATTCACTTAGATTAGATCAGATTAGATTCAACTTCATTGTCATTACACATGTACAAGTACAGGGCACGGAAATGCAGTTTAGGTCTAACCAGCAGTGCAATTGCAGCAAGTGCAGAATACAGGTGTAAATTATAAGTGCAGTTATAGAAAAACTATAGTGATATTTACAGATGGTTGTACTACGAACATTATATACAGCTTGTATTAGTTATGAACAGAGATTAACAATAGATGAATATATGTACAGATTTTGCTATTAATAATCAGAAGTGTGCAGATAACCACGCCCCATCAGTTTAGGCAACAAACAGAAATGGTGAGGGGGAGGAGTCTGTTAGGTTATAATAACTTCCGCTGAACCCATTTCCTGATGTTTCTGAATTTAATGCCTTCTTTACTACATCCAATCAGCTTGCAGTCGAAAAAATAAGCCACACCCATTGTTTTCTTATATAATATTTAGTTTCTCTAGGAACTGCATCACAATATGGAAAAAGGTCACAGCTTCCGGTTCAAACAGACTTTAACAATTACACTATTGCTACTTAAATGGCCAAATAATTTTAATCAAGCAACAATTTGTCTTTTCAAAATAATTTCCTATAGTATTCATATCCATAAAAAGTATTGAAAATAATTGTCATATGTGGGATCATACATTTCAGTATATGTTAAGATCTGCTGATCCTACTGGTATTTCATTACATGAATACTAAGGTGAACTACATTGTACTGGATATGATCTATATTCAAATATGATACTATATAAACTATAGTTTAAAATGTTTTATTAAAATGTGTGAACGTTTACATCACTGTATCATGATGCTGGCTGTCTGAACAAATTCAGGATTAGTTTTGAGTTAAAAAAAGCAATGAAATCCGGGCTTTTTTATTCTACTAATTGTTCTGTTGGGCGATTCTGTGTGGAGTTTGCATGTTCTCCCCGCGCTCGATTGGGTTTCCCCCACAGTCCAGACATGTGGTACAGGTGAATTGGGTTGGCTAAATTGTCCGTAGTGTACGAGTGTGTATGGATGTTTCCCAGAGATGGGTTGCGGCTGGATAAGTTGGCAGTTCATTCCGCTGTAGCGACCCAGGATTAATAAAGGGACTAAGCCGAAAAGAAAATAAATGAATGAATAATTGTTCTGTCTACTTGTTTCTACACATCTGACTTAAAAAAACAAAAAAAAAAAACAGACATTTTCTGATCTATTGTTTCTCTTGTGTTGTTTAGCTCGCCTGCCTGTTCCTGTCCTCATCAGAGACTGTTCTTCATCCTCATCTTCATCAGTGCAGTATTGTTCAGTGTTGTGTTCAGTGGTGAATGTGAGCGCTGTGAGTCTCTCCTGGTACAAAGGAAACAGTGTATTGTCCAGCATCAGTGTGTCTGATCTCAGCATCAGTCTCTCTCTACCTCTGGAGGTGGAATATCAAGAAAACAACACCTACAGCTGTGTGATCAACAACACCATCAGCAACCAGACCACACATCTGAACATCACTCAGCTCTGTCAGACATGCAAAGGTACGACAGAGCTTAGTTGTGCTTATGTTAAAATTTACCTCCTGATTTGAGCTCAGTTTGATGTTTCTGGTCCTCAGGCTCTGGTCACTGCTGTGGTCCGACAGAAGCTGTGATCCGATTGGTCGGCTCTGCTCTCGTGGGCGTGGCTGTTGCAGCTTTTCTAGTTTATGACATCAGATCCAGGAAAAAGAGATGAGAAACAGAAACCTTTAATATTGTGACATATCTTGGTTTATTAAACTGACATTTAAATTCAGATATAGCTATTAGGGAAAGTTTAACCTCGTAACAATCCACCACTTGAGTTCACACAATTAGGAGAAGTTCAGATTTAGACAAACAAACAAACTAGTGAATAAATAAAAATAAACACATACAGTTGAAGACTGATTATTAGCCTCCCTTTGATTTTTTTTTTTCCTTTTTGAAATATTTCCTAAATTATGTTTAACAGAGCCAGGAAATTTTCACAGTATGTCTGATAATGTGTTGGAAAAAATCTGCTTTCCGTTAAACAGAAATTGGGGAAAAAATAAACAGGGGGTCTAATAATTCTGACTTCAACTGTCAACTGTATATAGTGGAGTGACAGTTATGATGCAAATAAAAAAATTCAAGCTAATAAATTCTAAATCTTCTGTCGCTTCTAGAACTTAATTTTAGCCTAGGATTATTATTCATAATAAATATTTTCACTCAAAACTTTACAATATGTCAGTGAAAACGTTCCGATTTAAGCAAATAAAATGGATTAAATGAGCTGCAGATCTTTTGCTGCGTTCTGGAAAATCGAAATTAGAGTTTTTCCAGCTTCCTACTTGGAAATAACACAGAGTCGTTTAATCCGACTTGTAAACTCAGGATGGATCTTTTTTATTTACTTTTTTACTAACAACAACAACAACAACAACAACAAAACAGAATTATACAGTAATACACAAAACTTATATTCTTGAAGAATATTATAAGTCTTCTTTGCTTTTTTTATAAACAATGTTAAATAAACAGTATAAACAGTCCTTAGTTTCTTGAAGAAAATTAACAAAATTTGGCTTTGATCAAGTCAATTTTTATGATTATAAAAATTTCCAAAAATAATAAAAATTCGAACATGTAAATTAAATACATATGAAGAGTTTAGCTGCAAAAACCTCTAAAAGCCATTTGAAAATTCTCTCTAAAATTAGCATTTTTCTCTGACTCCTATATGTATGCTCAGTAATTTTACTTACACTTATAGTGACAAATGAGCTCTTCTCATTGTCTTTCAAGTAAAAAAAAACTGAACAAACATTGGAGGCTGAGAAAAATGCAAATTATAGGAGAACATTTCAGACAGCGTTTAGAGGATTTTGCATCTGAACTCTTCATATATTGACAGATCCACCCAGAAAATCCTCAGGTATATACAATCACAAAACAGTTGGACAATAGATTATTTTTCCATATAATTTTATATATAATTGAGAAACCTAGTTCTCAGGGCCATTAGAATATTTAGGTCTGAAGGAGGCAGGAAACACATGAAATATTTAGGGTGTTATGTATATTATGTATATCTAAAAATGAATAAATAAATTAAACATGCATGCATACATGCATGCATACATGCATACAATACAAATAAAAAATTATCAAATGACTCTTAGTTTGGAAAGCAGAAAATTGTAAAAACACCTTAATGATTAAGTAATGTATTAAAAGCACTAAAACTATTTAGAGTGATCACAACAACATTATTACAGAAAAGAAAACAACAAATAATCAGTTAATACATTTAAAATAAGTACTATTAGGAATTTATCACTGAGGGCCCAATCATACACCCGACGCAATAAGGTGCAAGATGTGTTTGCTTCGACGTGTTGCTATTTTCAGACCAATGCGACCTTAATCTTCCCGTTTTCCGCCATGTTGTTTAAATAGCAAATTCATTTGCGCTACTTTGTGGACTCATGGGTGTGCTGGTCTAGAAAAGAGGTGTGTTAAAAAGAAGTTAAAAGCGCTCATTTTCGGTTTATTTGGACCCCAGAAATGGAGGAAAAACTAGTGGAGGTTTGACAGGAGCACCCGTGTCTGTTTGACGTTTTATACAGAAAGTTAAAAAAGAAAGTTGAGGAGAATTTGCTAATTCCCTTCAAACCCAGGTGAGCAAATAAGTACATTTTCTACCCCATTAAAGGCTTCTTTCTCGTTATGTAGTTAATAACAAAAGATATACGATGTGTTTTTGGCTGTGAGACGTAGTTTGGATAAAGTTGTCGGCGATTCTTTCTATTGTAAAGTCATGCAATGTGAAAGCCCCTGTGGCCGATTTATCTTGCAGTGTAAACAAAGCAGCGACAAAACGCCAGCCCAGATAGTCATGCAGTGTGAAAACATCTGTGACAAGACTACTTTTAAAATCATGCAGTCTGAACTTGGCATCTCGCTTACACATTGCTTACTACACAGAATGTACAGCAATACACAAATATCTTTACAAATAAAATAGAATTAAAGGATTAAAATATTAAAAAAATTATTATTTTCTACATAAATATAAAAAACACTTCTTTCATGCCTTCTTTACCTCAGGGTATTTTTTCAGTTTATTCATGACAATTTGCTTTTGTATAAGGTTTTTATTATTATTATTATTATTATTATTATTAGTAGTAGTAGTAGTAGTAGTATTAAATACGTATTTATATTTGTTTTATTAAAAAAAAGCTTAGATTTGTCCTCCTGTCAGGTTTTATGGGGAATAGGATGCATCTTTGGATATGAGTTTTTTTTTTTTTGACCACACTGGTTATTATTGTTCATTTATCCATTTGCTGAAAATTAGAACCAAATTTAAAAATAGTTTAAGCAAATCTTTGCACTTAACAAACAAATGTAAATAATGTAGGCTAATGGATGTCTTCAGTGGTTTCCTTACTCCACGAAAAAGAGAAAGTGAAAGTAAAAGCCAATTGGAGGAGGCTCGTCTGTATCCTCACGCTGCAGATGGTTTAACTGTTTTCTCGCTAGAAAAGCATTCAGTTTTTCCTCTTACAAAGTCCGCTATGTCAATATCAAATGCGCCAAGGCGCAATGCAACTGACACTTAAAGCAAATGTGAGATTGGTTTATGCTCAAAACACACCCATAACTCATTAAGAGAATAAGCTCAACCCTGTTAGACCATGCGAAGCAACGCAAAGCGTGTATTTCAGTCATTAAAACAGCAGAAAGGAGATTCGGACAAGCCCTTAGTGTTTTTGCACCATGCGCTTTAGACTTTGCGCCTAGATCGTTAAAATAGAGCCCTCAGTCTCTTTAAAGATAAATAAATAAATAAAAAATATCAACAAGCATCCTCATCCAGTTTGTCCAGTCAATGATCTTCTAAATCATAGGTCTCGAACTCAATTGCTGGAGGGCTGCAGCTCTGCACAGTTTTGCTTCAAGCCTGATTAAACAAAGCTGATCTAAATAATCAAGGTATTTAAAAGAGTCTTGAACACTTTCATTAGTTGGATCAGTGGTGTTTGATTGGGGTTAGAGCAAAACTGTGTCAGAGCTTCTGCCCTCCAGCAATTGAGCTTGAGACCTGTGCTCTAAATGTTGTTCAGTCGGTAGTGTTGTGTAATGTGTGAGAAAAAAAAAGAAAAAAAAAAAGTATCTAACCAGTTATCCAACATGGATTTCACAAATTTAAAACAGTCTCACTCTTGGGAGATTCCCTATCATTCATACCTCATAGTCTGTCCACAATAGCTAAACAGCATAATTCAGACAAAAATAACAAACAAAATGCACTGAACATACAGGGGTTGGACAATGAAACTGAAACGCCTGGTTTTAGACCACAATAATTTATTAGTGTGGTGTTGGGCCTCATTTTGTGGCCAATACAGCATCAATTCATCTTGACAAAATACAGATCCTGCACAGTGGCCAGAGGGATTTTAAGTCATTCTTTTTTTCAGAATATTGGCCAGGTCTACTGTTTTCTGAATCACTTCATCAAAACACCGTAAAGTATGATATGATATTTAGATCTTGTGACTGTGCAGGCCATGGTAAATGTTCAACTTCACTTATGTTCATCAAACCACGCTGTCACAATTCTTGCTGTGTGTATTGGTGCATTATCATCCAGATACACGCCACCGCCTTCAGGATACAATGTTTGTATCAGGGTGCACATGATCCTCAAGAATGATTCAGTAATCCTTGGCAGCAAGTTGCTCGTCCAACAAAAGTATTGGGCCTAGGGAATGTCATGACATTGCAGCCCAAACCATCACTGATCCACCTCCATGCTTTACTCTTGGCACAGAACAGTCTGGGTGGTGCGCTTTATTGGGGATTTTGCATGGGAAAGTAAGACATGTAAATATTGGGAAAGTCAATAAAGACTCAGCAGAGAACAATACATATTTTACATTATCCACAGCCCAAAATTTTCACTGCTGGCCCCATTGAAATCGATGTTTCAGTGGCTCTTTATACAACACAAAGACTTGCTGTCTTGTTCACAGATGAGCTAGCGAGTCACGAACAAACAGTGTGTTCTCTTTTGAACTCTGATGTCGCCCGTGATGCTGAGCGCATTGTATATTTTAAGCAAAACTGTGCTGTTACTCTGCTAAATAAACCTTCACACTCTGCTCTTACTGGTGGAAAGTGCAATCAATGAAGATTGGCCACCATGCTGGTAATATTAAACCATAAAGTCAAGACTAAATTGGCCAGTGTTTCAGTTTCATTGTCCAACCCCTGTACACACACACCAAGAAAAGCAAAAGCATTTAACCATTAATTTGGTTACAAATACTGTATCTAACTCTGTTTTACCAGCACACATGATTTTTTTTTTTCAAATGTATGGTACAATGTCAAATCAATGGCACAATTTTTTATTGTATAGACAAATAATTTACAATATTTGAGCAAAGATAAGTAAATGTAAAAACAACACAAATAGCAGTATTGTCACTTGAGGTGTAAGGAGGTGTTTCTGACGCGTAGTCAAAACAATAAAGATCATCCTTTAAAATACTGCTTTTCTGTGTTTATCAAAGAGTTTGTACAGTTGGATTATTGTACTTACAGTTCTGTTGTATCTTTTACTTGTGAACCCCATAAGATGGTTTTCCAATCTCATTTTCCACACACTCACAGTCCTAATCATGACAGTCACGTTCAGAAAATGCTGTTTGCCCCTTGATTACACACCTGTGTCAGTCTTTCCGGTTGTCTATGAGATTTTAAGCTGCACTCCACCCAGTGGTTAAACAACGAATTATCCAAAATAATACAAAACGACTCTTGCATTCAAAAGAAAATGTGCTTTAAAGATGATGATTAGTGTTGTAAAAGAGTAAGACATAATAGGATTTGCTTATCATTGCTGCCTCTCTTGGATTGTAAAAGGATTTGTCTGATGAAAGATGTGACTATTTCCAGTTACATTAGGTTCCTTTTACAGCATATATTGTAATGCAAATACAGTATAAATACACTTCAGCATTTATTTCAAGCGTAAAATGTGATGATAGACCATTTAAGCAGCAGGCGAGCACTGAAACCCCATTGAAAATACTGTGGTATTGTATTGTGGGATACTGCAGTGAAGATCATTGATGTTTAATAAAGCCAAATATTAAACACTGCGTGTTTAAAATAGGATAACAGTTTACTGTAAAAGCTTGAGCTGGCATACTGAAAATTAAAAGTCCTTGAGCATTTAAAACACGTTCATGCGGCCGCCATTTTAAAGAACCGAAGCGAGGCTGTGGTGGGAAGAAACCCGGAAGTATAGAACCAGCACTGTAAACATTTCAGTAAAATGCTGTTGATTACAAACTTCCAGCTGTTGCCGAGATTTCAAAATGCAGAAATGGTGTAAACATCCCTTTAATATCCTTCTGTAAGTTTAAATTAAACAATTAAAAGCAAATTAGCAACAAACAACATCACAATCTCTTTCGGAGTAACATGCTCAAGTGTCCTCCAAGGTTTCAGTTCATGGCAGCAGGTAAACACTGTGGGGACGCTTCCCTGCTTCAGCCTATGTAACTCGGTGAGTGATAAAACATTGCAGTCTTCTGTAGCACACCCTTGTGTTGTCTGTAACAGTGTTGTCCCAGTACTGACGTTTTAAAAATGTCCATTTCCTGCTAACATTCAAGCACTGCTGAGCTCGTTCATAAACAGGGCTGATTTACTATAGTATTTACCAGTGCTCCCCAGTTTACCGCTCTTCACCCAGTGCAAACACAGATACACAGAGACTGCAGCGCGAAGCAGCAGTGAAGATCAGTCGAGTCATCAAGCAGATCGCTCATCTGTGTTTGTACTCGGTAAACAGTGGAGGGTGAACTGATGACCTTCTCGGCCAATCACAGTCATTTCTGTTGAGCACGTGAACACAATGGCAAATCAGCGCTGTTTTAAGGAAGCCATCAACAGTGACTTAAATGTTAGAGGGAAACTGGCGGGGTTTTTTTTATTCAGTATCGTGACAAGTCTAATATAGTGAAAGAATCACTTCATTAACTTGAGTTTGATAAATGGCATCTAAAACGTGTGTTTGGGAAAGAAAATGTTAGCTAACTAGTGCCATTTCCCTTGGCTGAAAATGAGGTCTGATATTCCTTTTTTTTCCACCATTCATTCCGAACGGACCTTCAGGTCACTCGGAAGGCGGTGAAGTTATAAGTTTGTGTCACTTCCTCTTCGCTGATAAGATATATACAGCCAGCTACACAACATTCCTATGTAACTCCCAATAATACTTCCGGGTTTCTTCCCATGGCAGCCTCGATTTCGCTTTTAAAAATAGCGGCAATGTGAGTCTATTCCTGGACTAATTCCTGGATCACCTGATCTAAATAATCAAGGTATTCGAGACTGTTTTGAACAACCTGATAATTTGGATCCGCTGTGTTTGATTAGGGTTGGAGCAAAACTGTGCAGAGCTGTGGCCCTTCAGGAATTGAGTTTGAGACTCCTGTTATAAAACAAAATTTTCCAAACAGAGCCATCTAGTGGCACACTTGACCATGTTCGCTTGTATTTCTCTACTGACAACCATGTCTATTTTTTACAATGTTTTATTTTGTTTTGTTTCCTTGAAAATATCTATATTTTATGTTCTGCTGAAGTAATTTAGTTTAGCATTCTTTTAACCATAATCTAGAAACATTGCAAATGATTTAAAAATGGGTGGCACGGTGGCACAGTGGGTAGCACTATTGCCTCACAGAAAGAAGGTCGCTGTTTCAAGCCTCAGCTAGGTCAGTTGGCGTTTCTCTGTGGAGTTTGCAAGTTCTCCCCGTAATCACGTGGGTTTCCTCTGGGAGCTCCGGTTTCCCCCAAAGACATGTGCTGTAGGTAAATTGAGTAATCTAAATTGTCTGTAGTGTATGTGTGTGAATGATGTGTGAAGGATTGCAGCTGGAAGGGCATCCGCCGTGTAAAACATATGCTGGATAAGTTGGCAGTTCATTCCGCTGTGGCGACCCCAGATTAATAAAGGGACTAATCCACAGGTGTCAGTTCCTAGAGGGCCGCAGGACTGCACAGTTTAGTTCCAACCCAGCTTCAACACACTTACCCATAGGTTTCAAACATTCCTGAAGGACTCAATTAGTTTAATCGGGTGTTTTTAATTGGGGTGGAACTAAACTGTGCAGAGCTGCAGCCCTTCAAGGTTTTGTCATCTGTGGACTAAGCTGAAAAGAAAATGAATGAATGAAAACAGACGTTGTTTATGGTTGTTGTGAATGTAACACGACACCAGATGGCGCTGATCTAAAGTCTGACCAATCTTTTAAAGGGACAGTTCACCCTAAAGTGAAAATGTCCACATCATTTACTTACATACACGTTGTTGTAAACTTGTAAGAGTTTCTTTCTTCCGTTAAACACAGAGCAATATATTCTGAAGAATGAAAAGGCAGCCATTGACATCCATAGCTGGAACAAGAAATACAATAGAAGTCAATGACTGTGACAACGTTTCTTCACTATATCTTCCTATATCCTGAATACACCAAAGGAAAGGTATCCATTCAAAAAACACTGGAGCGTGAGTAAATGAGGATTTTTTTTTTTTTTTTTTGGTGGGGTTGAACTTTCCATTCAAGATAGCATATTAGCAAAAAAAAAAAAAAAAAACTATATAAGTAGAAAAACTTAGAACATTCTTTTCATTTTATGGCTGCATTCAGAGCAGACCTTTTAAAACCACATTCTGTTTAAACAGACCCATAGTTGTTTGTGGTGTTTGTCTAGTGCAGAGAGCCAATGCTTAAATGCAACACCATAGGTTTGAGTGAAAGTGAAACCATCTGTGGTCTTATTTTCACAGAACCATACGCTACAATCTGTCCTGATGGCTATAGAAGACATACGTGTGCCTGTAGTTTAAGAGTCTTTGTTTATTCTTTTAATAAACACCTCTGAACCAGACATTATTATGAATGCAGCTTGATAGAAACAGATGTTTGAAAAACAGTCTGATAAGATTAAAAGTTAAAACGTTGTTTTTACCTATTGCTGATCAACTATAAACATTGAACATTAAAAATGAAATCATAACTTCCTTTTTTGAAATATTACATAAACAAAATGATTTGAGGAGTGTATATAGTGTTACAGATTTATCTTCCATTATATAGCGAGCCTAAACACTATAGTGACTATATGAAACCACTGTGGTCAGCAAAGGTGGTCTTGTTCTGTTGTGGGGGATCAACATACACACTATAACAATCACACTTCAGTCAAGTGACAGAAGTCTGCTTTCATTATAATGTCAGAGCGCTCTGTGAAAATGCTCCATGTTAAAGTTTTGCTCAGCTTGTGTTGGTGGACGCTGGTTGGTGAGTACTAATGTCTGTTTTTATACCAGCGCTGTTACAGCTCTTGATTAGTAATAAGTAATAATACATTTATGTTTAACTTCTAAAAAAAAAGCTTGAACAGAATAATTATGGTGGCTTGAGAAAATATTCTGATATTCTACATAAACATAATATTTTTTTCTTCGTCTTCTGAGACTATTTTTAAAGTGTATCTCCTCCTAAGCCTTTCAAGCTACTTACTTCAAACTCTCTTCAAACCTTCAAACTGGTCTGACTCGGGTTGCTATATCTTTACTAATTGATCTGACTTTTAGCTTTCCGAAAAATAACCGAGAAAATTCCCAAAAGTCCCATTGACAACATTGGGTCAAACTTTGTAAACTCATAACTCTGCATCAGACTGTCCTACAGACTTATGGCTGAGCTCATTTAACTCAGTCTAGCCAGCAGCCAATTACTAATGACCTTTAAACTTACTAGCCAGTCCCTATTAACCAATTTCAGCACCCTAGTAACTGTCCCATAGACTTTCATAGTAAAAAACTGTCATTGACTTAACAATGGATCAATCTTTGTTTAACTCTGCAACAGACTGTCCTACAGACTAGAGTCTGGCCTCATTTAACTCAGTCTAGCCAGCAGCCAATCACTGATGACCTTTAAACTTTTTAGCCACTCCCTATTAACCAATTTCAGCACCCTAGCAACATAGACTGTGACTAGCTATTCTAACACATGCTAATAGTTTTAACATTCTTTTGACATGCTAATCTTGCTAGAAACGTGATAGTGACATGCTAGTCATGCTAATTCATGCTAACAACATGTCAGAGACAAGCTGATTTGTGCTAGAATCATGCTAATTCATGCTAACATGCTAACTCATGCTAGAAGCATGCTAACAACATGTTAATCCATGCTGGAAACATGCAAACAACATGTTAATTCATGCTAGAAACATGCTAACAACATGTCAATTCATGCTAGAAACATGCTAGCAACATGCTAATTCATGCTAAAAACAAGCTCACAACATGTTAATTCATGCTAGAAACATTCTATCAACATGTTAATTCATGCTAGAAACATGCTCTCAACATGCTTATTCATGCTAGAAACATGCTATCATCATGTTAATTCATGCTAGAAACATGCAAACAACACCAATTCATGTTGGAATCATGCTAACAAAATGATAATCCTTGTTGGAATCATGCTAACAACACACTAATTCATGCTAGAATTAGGCTAGCTACATGCTAATTCATGCTAGCAACGTGCTAATCTATGCTTGAAATATACTAACAACATGCTAAATCATGCTAGATTAATGCTAATAACGTGGTAATTAATTTCTTAGAATCATGCTAATTGATGCTAGTATCATGCTATTACCAACCTCAGACACAGGGATCAACTTAAAATCTTTTTACTGGCTTGCTTCACTCTTTATTGTGGTCGCATTGTTGAATGCAGGGATCTAGCCAACTTGATACTTTTTCAAACTAAATAAATTACTTTTAACAGGTTTCCTCAAGCCACCATAAAGCTTGTCCTCATAGTTGTGATTTATGATTTGATTTCCTAGAAGATTAATGGCTCATCAAATCCATATCAACATCATAGTTTTATAATTATTAAAGTAATTTTGTATTTTTATATTTACTATGCTAATCAAGAAACTCTGTCTACCATTTCGCAATCTAACCACATAAGTTACGCAGTTAAACATTTAGCAATAATTAAAATTTCTTTACTTTTGTTTTCACAAACTCTTCAGGTGTGTCCGGTGAATCAGTGTCAGTAATGGAGGGAGATTCAGTCACTCTAAACTCTGGTCTCACTGAACTGATGGATGATGATCTGATTGAGTGGAGGTTTGTCAATGAAAACACTTCAATAGCTGTAGTTGATATAATGGACACCAGAGTCACTGTATATGATTCCACTGAGAGATTCAGAAACAGACTGAAGGTGGATCATCAAACTGCATCTCTGACCATCACACACACCACAACTGAACATGCTGGAGTTTATGAAATAAAATATACAGGAAAAAGGACCAAACATTTTAGTCTCACAGTCAACAGTAAGTTAAATGAGGGGTTCATTCAGGCTTTACATTATACAACATAAACTCAGTAAAAGACATCTATTCAACACATGATTTATTCAAATCCTTTCCAGCTCGTCTGCCTGTTCCTGTCCTCATCTTCAACTCTTCTCAGTGTTCTTCATCAGTGCAGTATTGTTCAGTGTTGTGTTCAGTGGTGAATGTGAGCGCTGTGAGTCTCTCCTGGTACAAAGGAAACAGTGTATTGTCCAGCATCAGTGTGTCTGATCTCAGCATCAGTCTCTCTCTACCTCTGGAGGTGGAATATCAGGATAACAACACCTACAGCTGTGTGATCAACAACACCATCAGCAACCAGACCACACATCTGGACATCAGCACACTCTGTCTGACATCATGTTCAGGTACATAATCATTGATATTAGAGCTTATTATTAATGATAAGCTGGCTTCCCCTAGGTTTGCTTTTTCTGCTTTTTTTATCATGTTGACTGTCTGAGCTGTTTGTCTTTTCTTTTTTGTCATTGGTAATTTCAGGCAAACAAAGTCTTCTTGAAATGCCTTGACATTTGCTCATTTCATTTCCTTTCTTTAGAGTTCAAAGCCCACTGTTGCGGTTTTACTGAAACTATGATCCGATTGGTCCTCTCTGCTCTGGTGGGCATGGCTACCTTGGCATTTCTGGTTTTTGACATCAGATCCACAGGAAGTGAACACAAGAAACCGATTTTATTAGTACTATAAGTGACATATCTTGGATATTTAAGCATGCACACACAAATATTAGTTAAATATATAATAAACAGAAAGAAAATGTTATGAAAGTGTCATTAAAAAAACAATGTGGTTCATATGTGTTGTTCAATGATATCTAGACAAGGCTTACCAATGCTTTCCTGTCTTAATAAGGCTGATGAGTTGAGCTTTTTAATGCTGTGTACCTTGAGGCCCTCTAGTGGTCAAGATAAAGATTTATGGCATTTTACTCTCTCCTCCGATTCATTTGACATTTTTAATCAACAGCCAGGGCGGATTTACTGATTTTAGGGTCCTAAGCAAATCCAGCCATGGCGTCCAACAGTCCTAAAATGCACCATTTTTACTTTTAATACATTTTCTTGTTTGCAGTTCAGTCCATATGAAGTAAACTACAATCCACGACAGCAGCGAAATGATCAACGCGTGTCAATGTAATTAATTATAAAAGTTATTTTCCCCACAAAAAAAAAAACAAACAATCTTACAGACATGTCTTTATTGTATTTTATTTCTCTGCTGAAACAAAACAAAACAATCTAAGCTATCATAGACGTCTTAAAAAGTTTACAAAAAATCAATCAATCAATAAATAAATAACTTTATAACATTGCCACCATTAAAACCAGCACATTTTTATGGTGCTTTGGGACATTTTGGGGCCCAACAGTCAACGTTATTTAGATTATGTAACATAAAACATCTTTTCTATGCTCTACTTTTAAAATTATTAGTTTTACTATAATAGTTTATTATTAATTATTACATAACATTAAATTATTACAACAATATTTAATTTAAATTTATATTAAACCAAATTTAATTACGATAAAATGTTAATAGTTTGACTTAGAAAACAATGTTATATGTAATTTATACTTCTAGATTATTGGGGCCCCCAAATTTCCGCTTACCTCGCTTATTGGTTAAATCCGCCCCTGTCAAAGCCTACACAGTTTTTTTTTTTTTTTTAATGTATGTTGTATTGCTTAATGCTGTATTTTTACTTGTTTAATTGTACACTGCAAATGTTTTTTTTTTTTAGAAATGTTTTTAAACTGAAAGGGAATTTCAACTAAATGTGTTAAGTGTCGATGATTCTAGTGGTTATGAGGATGTGCTTAATCAATGAGTTGTAATTGTTTAAATAATTTTACCCCAAAGCGAAACTATTAATTATAGACAAAATTGCGAATTTTCCTATGTAGATGAACATATATGTTGAGGAAGGAGGAGCAGTTTTATATTTAATATATATATATATATATATATATATATATATATATATATATATATATATATATATATATATATATATATATATTTTTTTTTTTACAGAAAAGAATCAATGACAGCGAAATCAAAAGAAAAAGACTAAACTCTAAAATATATTGCAAAAATAAACAGACCAAAAGCATATATGCTTCCATTTTAATATTAAGTCTTGAAAGAATGGTTCATGCAAAAGTTTATGATGAATGATTTCTTTTCAAACACATAAACACTCTGAATATTAAAACAGACTTTTAGAAACTCAAACTTGTCCCCAAAAACTGTATCTCCAAAAAAAAAAAAAAAAACTCCAAACTGTATGTAATGTGTTCATAATCTGCATATTCTCCCTTATAATCCTCACATTTTAATTTGCCCTTTTACAAATCATGTTTTACGTACCTTTAAACCTATCATGTTTACTGTCGTTGTGCTCCTCATTTAATCCCACAGCTCATACCAGCTGTTGTGAACAGTTTTAATATTACAGGAATGAAAAAAATCTGTGGTACATTTAATTTTGATATTATATTTACACATGTATACACATATATAAACTGTATACACACATATCTTTACAAGTTTACTTGTACAATTATTAAACACACCCACACACACACAAACAGACACACCCACACACACACAAACACAAACAGACACACACACACCCACACACACACAAACACACAAACACACAGACACACACACACACACACACCCACACACACACAAACACACAAACACACAAACACACACACACACACACACACACACACACACACACACACACACACACACACACACACACACACACACACACACACAATTGGAGACCTATATTACTTACGGGTGATAATTGATTTCACTTACATTACAATTTACACCTTTTTGCTTAGTTCAATAGCTGCAGTTACATTTAATTGCAGGAAAAAAAATTTAGACTGTAAAAATAAGTGAACAGACAAAACTTTAATATTTTAATCAATAAAATATTAATAAGAACACATGTAAACAGAAAGCAAAAACTCAAATACCTAAAATGATCAACAAATCAGCATGAGCACAGGCATGTTATCAAACCCATTCTCATCTTTTAGAGCCTCACACAAAAACAAATATATAAAATGGCACACACAACTCCGAATTGTTTATATAAAACATAAAAAGCCTATATGAAGAATTATTTCAGGCTATGGTCCAGTAAAAAAAAAAAATAGTTTTTTAACTTGACTAACTCAAACTGAGAGTGCTTCACACAGGTGAGTGGGCTTGACAAACCACCTGTAGAAAACATACTTTTTCAGCTCTCTGACACTTTAACAGACACTACACTGTTAGACCTTACCGGGCATTTTTACAGTAGAATACTGGCAACACTGTTGCCAGTCACTCACTGTAAAAGTTTGGTTACAGTAAGTAACTGGCAACAGTGTTGCCATTTAATTACTGTAACTGAACCATTACAGTGAGTGGCTGGCAACAGTGTTGCCAGTTATTTACTGTAACTGAACCAATACAGTGAGTAGCTGGCAACAGTGTTGCCAGTTAATTACTGTAATAGAGCAGTAGTGGTAACTAACTGGAAACTGTGCACAGTTAATTACTGTACTGTAGTGTTACAACTCACAGCATTATACTGCATACACATTAATAGCATGTCATAGTCTTACTAAAATTAATTAGTATTCTTACCTTTTATTAAAAATAGAAGGCATAAAAATTTAGACAAATGTATTTTATTGTTTTGGCAGCAAACAAATATACAACAGAAAATGTATAACAAAATTAAGAAATCAGCAGATATAAATATCATCTTTCATATTACAGGTCTGCACAGTAAGGCTGCGGTCACACTATCGTTTGAGCATGCAAAATTCTGTTATACGGCACTGCGAAAAGAAGTGGGATTAAGCAAAATAATTGGAGATTGAAAAAGCAAGTGACTGGTCCATAGTTTAAATTTTTGTTCAGACAGGTCATGTTTTGATCTTTGATTGGTTTTAAGCAATCACATGATGTGATTTCGCAGGTCAGAGATCTCCAAGTTTGAACTTTCCAATGCTGCAAACAGTGAAATTTTTCGCATGAGCTATCATTCCAGGTCTGCAGCACTCACATGCGTTTAAATGGAAGTCTAAAGGGAGAAAAGTGCAGTGTGACCGGGACTTTAAGCTGTAACTCTAATTGAACACACCTGATCAAACTAATTAAGGCTTGTTAGAAATCTACAGGTAATGTTGAAGCAGGGTGTGAACTAAACTCTGCTGCGCTGCAGTCCTCCAGGAACTTGGAGTTTGACCCCCATGGTTTTTAGCATATTTTTAAAGCAACTGCCAACATTTATCACAATCACATATCAAAAAAAAAAAATGCACGCATGCACACACACACACAGAAAGTGCTGCAGTAAAATGTGTTTCTCTCTCCTCAATGCTGACCATGCAAAAAAAAAACAAACAGCAAAAAACAAAAAATAATTATTTTATTTTTTAAAGTTTCGAATAACTAAAAAATAAGCATATGAAAAGAACACACACATACTCTCTCTCTCTCTCTCTCTCTCTCTCTCTATATATATATATATATATATATATATATATATATATATATATATATAGAAACATGTTTGTCAAACACAGGCAGATACTGTCAATTCTCAATAAAAAGTTTAAAATAATTCTAAAAAACAAAAACAAAGTCGGCAACACCGAAAATCTAAAGGATCCAATCTTTTATTGTTATAATTATTATCTACTTTAAAATCTCATGACCACAAACTTTTCTATGGTTTCTAATATAAATTCATAGGTGGAAACACAGCTCTGAAAAATACTTAGCAACAAACTCACAACCTTGATTCCCTGTGATGATTTCTGTGCACATGTTACCTTACTGAGATGATGGAATTTATTGGTTTTTATGTGCATAAACTTTTAGCATCTGTACAGTATTGCAATATGCAATATCCAATAGATAAATATACTTAAAAGCGAGGAGAGGCTAACTAGCTAACAATGTAGCTTTCAAGTACACAGTTCAAGATAACAACAATATAACTTAAAACACAGCCTTATTTTAGAAACCCTCAAAAGCATTTTAACACATTTTACTTACTCATTGTAGATTCTTATTTAAAGCCTAAAGCATCAGACTCTACATTTGAATTGATAGACAGAGAATAAAGCACACTCAGCAGTAAACAAATCAAACACCTGACTCCCTTAAAGGGCCAGCATTTTCTGAAAACTTTTTCTAATACCTTTGTGTTTAGAATAAGACAGCCTGTGGGAGTGTGGTGAGGCCTAAATCATTGTCTTCTGCCTTTAAAATGCACGTCTCTATAAACAGCACCATAGAGCATCAGACTAAATGGGACAGTAATGGTTGAACAGTAATTTGCCATTTATTGTCACAGTACATAAAGTAAATTACTGTAATTTATCCTTTGCATTACACAATTTTATACAAACTCTACTTTTTTTACAGTAAAATACTGTTTCATTTCATTACAGCAAAACACTGACTAGTTTGCAGTTATTTACTGCATAATCTACAGGGTAAGAGTGCAGTTAAGCTTTAACCCTAATTAAGCACACCTGATCAAACTAAATCTAAAGGTAGTGTGTTGAAGCAGGGCTGGAACTAAATTATGCTAGGCTGCAGCCCTCTAGTAGTTTGACACCCCTGGAGCATAGCATATTTTCAAATCAACTGCTACATTTATCACAATTATGCACATATTGTTTAATAAAAACAATTAAAATATGCAAACTTCATCCATAGGAAAAAAAAAATTATAATAAATAATCTGATCCTCATGTAGTTCCAAAAAACATAAAAATTACATGATTTATACATTTATTTAGGTAAGCCTTTATACTATACTGTTAATCCCACTTTTACTTACTTTAATTGAAGTTTTCCAAACAAATTCATTAAGTCTCTGCAAACATGTATGTACGTGCTGTTTAAGATATATTTTTTTTTAAATAACGCATTTTTACTAGTCATTTAGCAAAATACTAATATTCAGTTGAAAGTGCAATTGAAAAGCTGAACTATAGGTTAAACTAGGCAAATTAGACTAATTATAGAAACGTAAACAAAGTTATAAGAATTATTATGACAATTTCTTTGCTCTGTGTGAATATTTTTGCCTTTAAATGCATTTCATCCATATCTTATGCTTAGCTTTTAATGATTTCTGTGGTATTGGTTGACTCCTGATACTCAATGTTAAAACATAAAAGAAACCAAAGAAAACACATGGCTGCAGTGAAATTCAGCTTAACATCAATGCAATGTCCCACTCTCCCCTTAATACTGACCATTCGCATATCAAAACTGAACAGTAAATATATATAAATATATAAAATTATATAATAAATATAAATAGCAACATAAAGCATCAGAGTAGATGGGGCAGTAATGGTTGATCAGTAATTTACCATTTATTATCACAGTAAATATCTGTAATGGGTACATAGAGTAAATTACTGTGATTTATTCTTTGCACTACAGAATTTCATACAAATCCTGCTTCTTTTACAGTAAAATACTGTTTCCTTTCATTACAGCTAAACACTGGCTATTTTACAGTTATTTACTGCATAATCTACAGTAAGGGTTAACAGTGTAGTTTTGCACATTTGCATCAGACACTTTCTTACAATCAGCAAAAAACAAAAAACAAAAAAACATTGTGGGTTTATGAAGTGTGCTTCATACAGGTGGGTAGGCTTAACAAACCACCTAAAGGAAATCTTTTCTCTATAAAACATTTTCCCCTCCTTGTTCTAACACTTAATTCTCTGAGAAAAACAGTTCCTTTGTATAATCATAGCACTTCTTGCATGAGTTGCCTCCTCTTGTTGAATCACTGAATGCCTACTTAACTGTAAGTTACTTTGGACAAAAGCGTCTGCTAAATGACCAAATGTAAATGCTGTATAATATTATATTAGTATCTGCATTTGTGCCATTTAAAAAGCCCAATTTTACTGGAGTAGGCCAAATGCAAATAAACGATTAGCTGGACAACACACAATCCCGCTATATAGAATAAACAAAACACAGAATGCTTTTAAATATTTTGCTTTCCTTTTCAAATCAATACAAAACACACTTTTATAGGTTTGAAAACTGTCATCCTGTGACTTCTATGTGGCAGCAGCAGCAAGTCTCAAGTTAATTTGTTTTTTACATTTTGGGTTTATAAAAGACAACGGCCAGAGATGTCAAGTTTGCCATGACAATTAAATGATATAAAACATATTGGATTCTATTGTAATGATCTAGGCACAAAGTCTGAAGCACAGGGTGCAAAAGCATTAAGAGCATTTCTGTCTGAATCCTCTTTTACTATTTTAAGCATGGAAAAATATGCTCTGTGCCCTGGTGCATGGTCTAACAGGGTTGAGCTTATTCTCTTAATGAGTTATGGGAGCGTATTAACAATAAACCAATAAGAGTCTTATCTTCCATTCCCTTTAAGAGTGAGTTGCGTCACTCCGTGGCACATTTTTTATTTACATGACAGACTTTGTAAGTGTGAAAACTGAATGAGTCACTGGCAAGAAAATAGTTAAACAGCATCTGCAGCGAGAATAAAGAATGAGCCTCCTTCAATTGACCTTTACTTTCACTTTCACTCTTTCACGGAGTAAGGTAACGGTGGAAACTCACTCCGCTGAAGACATCCATTAGCCTATACATAATTAATTTAGTTTGTTAAGCGGAAAGATTTGTTTCAAAACTAATTCTAAATTCAGTTTTCGGTTTCAGTTTCTAATTTCCAGCAAACAAGTAAATGAACAATAATAATGAAGTGTGGTCAAAAAACTGACTTATATCCAAACACACGTCCTATTCCCCATTTGGTCTAAAACCTGACAGGTGGACAAATCCAAGCTAGTTTTTATTCAAACGAATATAAATATGGATATAATAAATAATACCACTAATAATAAAAACATTATACAAAAGCAAGTTGTCATGAATAAACTGGAATAAATGGATTTGTTATATAAACAACGTGGCTTAAAATGGGAAAATTAGGGTTGCGATGGTCTGAAAACAGCAACACATTGCTGCAAACAGGTCTTGTGCCTTATTGGGCTAGGGATAGAGCCTTATATGTGTGAGTGAGTTAGCAGGATCAATCTGTCGCACAAGTGCTACACGTACAATTATGATGTTATGTTATTTAGGCTATGCTGCAATTTAAGTTATTGACTTTAATTTATCTCATGTAATTTATCTCATGGACTAAAGTTGCTAGTCGTAGCAATCTGAGATCAATTCCCTCTAGAAGTCCATCTTATTCTCCTTTCTCTGATCCACATACTATATAAATTTATAAAAAGATAAAAGAGTAATCTGAAAACAAAGTAATGACTATTAAATAGGTTTGCAAGATACTGGAATACCGTACTAATCAATACTGATCATAAAAAAGTCCTTTTCTCGCCAAAATTTCAGTATCAATTGGTATCGAGTTCCAGTATCATAATAATATCGTTAATAGTAACCAGGTGCATAACTTCCACTGGGGACAAGGGGGTCAAGCCACTTTTAAAAATCATTGCCACAGAGAGAGTGTGTGTGTGTGTGTGTGTGTGTGTGTGCTTTGATGTGATCAATAACTCAGTCAAAGTTTTAATAAGCAGCAGTTATTGCAGTTTAAAATATCCTTTCAGACAAAGGAATTCAGCACACACAGTTCATAATTTAAGTTTTTTTGGTTAAATTTTAGGATAGTTTAAAAATAAATTTGTTTAATCGGCCTGTTTTTTTTCCCCATATCAAACATACCTGAACCAAATAATTAGGACCTGAACACCACGTGATAATTACAGGCAGGTGTGTTTGATATGGGTTGCAACTGAAATCTGCAGGAAGGTGGCTCTCCAGCAACAGGGTTGGCCACCCCTCCCATAGTCCATAAAAACAGGTGAATGCACTAAATGGGATTTAAATGAACAAAGTTTTCCGCCATTACTTTCCAAACCAAAGTTACATTCTTGATAGTAATTACTACTCTTGATAGTAATAATAATTCATGGTGTAAGTAGTGGACTATTATAGATTGGTAATCAATTAGAAAGTCTAATGCAAAGTGATGCTGACTTGTAGGATGACATCCAGATTCCTAATCCTATGATTCATCCTCAAGATTTGGAAAGCTTCAAAGGATCTTTGATCTCATCTGGTTCAGGTTCTTCTTCAGTGCAGCCTAAAAGGATACACACACACACACACACACACACACACACACACACACACACACACACACACACACACACACACACACACACACACACACACACACACACACACACACACACACACACACACACACACACACACACACACACACACAATTAAAATCAAAAGAAAATAACTTTTGTATGACTGATAATACATTTAAATTAGAAGAACCCATTTAGGAAATATAAGACAAGAGGAGATTTTAAATACAATTCATGTGCTATTTAGACCTAAATCTGAAGTCATTGTATTTACCTGGGTTTTGTTTTATGAAACAGTGGCTTTTAATTGAATGAACTACAAATAAGAACCTCCGTGAAGTTGGCACCCCATAAAAACAAATAATCCCCAAAACTATGCCATTCGTTTGTGCTACGTTTGTGCTGATTCGTGCCGCAAAAACGAACGTTTGTGCTGGTTTGGGGTCTGAGATATTAAGCATTATTTTTTTTACCGTGTGACGTCACTCTCCACCCCATGTTGCGCAATTGACTTCAAAACAGCACAGGTCGTTTGTGCTCGGTTTGTGCTGGTTTGTGCCGTTAAAACGAACACGGTATCCGTTTTCCTCTTTTAGATATAAGCAAAATATTTCGGGAGCCGTGACGTCACTCTCCACCCCATTTCCTCCAAATCGCACAAAACTGGTATCATTCGTTTGTGCTGGGTTTGTGCCGTTAAAATAAACACTTTATCTATTTTCGTTGTTTAGATATAATCGAAATATTTCGGGAGCCGTGACGTCATTCTCCACCCTATGTTGTCTAAATCACACCAAACTGGTCTCATTCGTTTGTGCTCGGTTTGTGCTGGTTTGTGCCGTTAAAATAAACACTTTATCTACTTGTATTGTTTAGATATTGCCTTGTCAAAACATTTCGGGAGCCGTGACGTCACTCTCCACCCCAGGTTGTCTAAATTGCACAAAACAGGTGTCATTTGTTAGTGCTCCATTTGTGCTGGTTTGTGCCGTTAAAATTTACTCTTTATCTATGTTTATTGATTAGATATTGCCTAATTAAAACATTTCGGGAGCTGCGACGTCACTCAGCGCCAAATTATTTCCTCTAAATTTCACAAAACAGGTGTCATATGTTAGTGCTGGATTTGTGCTGGTTTGTGCCATAACAATTAACACTTTATCTATGTTTATTGATTAGATATTGACTAATTAAAACATTTCGGAAACCGCGACGTCACTCAGCGCCCCATTATTTCCTCTAAATTGCACAAAACAGGTGTCATATGTTAGTGCTGGATTTGTGCTGGTTTGTGCCATAACAATTAACACTTTATCTATGTTTATTGATTAGATATTGCCTAATTAAAACATTTCGGGAGCCGCGACGTCACTCAGCGCCCCATTATTTGCTCTAAAATGCACAAAACAGGTGACATTCTTTAGTGCTGGATTTGTGCTGGTTTATGCCATTAAAATAAACACTTTATCTGTTTGTGTTGTTTAGATATTGCCTAATCAAAACACTTTGGGAGCCGCGACGTAACTCTATATGTGTCATTCAATTAGTTGTGCCGTTAATAAACACTTGTTAATAAACACTTAATAAACACTTAATAAACCGTTAATAAACACTTGTTTTCCTTGTTTGGATTTAACCAAAATATTTGGTCAGATTTGTACTGGTTTGTGCCATGAAAATGAACGAAATGATATTTATATTTGTGCACAAATATGTTACTTTCGTTTGCTCACAAATTGTGCTCGTTTGTGCTGCAAAAATATTATTTGTAAAAAAATTATATCAGATCATTAAGAGGTCTCTCCACACCAGTTGCTACATATTTACTAAAATAGTCTCATATGTGTGCGTTTCATTTGTGCTGGATTGTACCTGAAAGTTTCGTTAGTGTTGCTTCTTTTATTAAAATATTGAATGAAAGATAATGATATCAGCTACCCGCATATTTTAAAATAGGCTATTTAAATTTGTTTGGGCTGATAGAAATTTTGTTTAAGATGCTTTATTTTTTTAGATAGCCTAGGCCAAGGTTATTCTGAGATCTTTTTATTATTAGAAAAAGCATGAAGGATGCTAACATAATTTTAACAGATTTAATCCAAGTAAATAGGCTTGGCCAATATAAAGATAAGTGGCTACAACCCTGCTTTACTTATCTACTTCGTTTTAGTCTCATGAGTAGCCAGCATGCTTAACGATAGGAAAAAATAATTTAAATAAAAATATATGATTTTTATTAATTTTATTTATTCATTTTATAAAAATGTATTAATATACATTTTTTTTACCTGTTTAACCATGCAGCGATTTTCTCTTAAATACTCTTATCATCTGGTCGTCCATATTAGGCTGCTTTCGTCTAGCAGCCTAAACTTTTCTGTTGTGGTATAGGTAGGCCTACCACTGATTAAGTAAAGCAGCTTTAGTGGACTTATTTAGTCAATATTTATTTTATGGGAAAAAATAGATTAGCAAACACATAGGCTATGCGTTTTCTACAGATAAGTTTTGGTTTTCGTGATTGTGTTGTTTGTCATACAGTAAAAGAACAATGTCCAAATGGCAATAAAATAACAATAAATAATTGATTAATTAATTAAAATTAATAATAATAATAACAATAACAACAATCATATAAAATATTTACATTCACTTAATTGGTAAACACTGTGCGTTTTTATCACGGGCTGTAGGATGTTATTTTGACCATTTTGATTTGGTTTAATAAAAGATAAACATGTAATATTTTGTCATATTTTAGTTATCCTTAGGTACTTCTTATTATTGTCATTATTATTAATATTATTATATTTATTTATGTTTAATAACTTGTAGACTCTTTAAACAATGAGGAAATAAGTAAACTTTTTTAATTCAAGGCACAGACAGCTTGTTTAGTAATTTAATGCCGGCTATAGGCTACCACCAGAAGGACGGTTATACGGCGTGTTGTGATGTCGGCCGTCACCGGAGAAAATTAATTAAAACTTTAAAACTTTAATTTTTTGGACTTTTGTTTGAAAGCTTTAGTGGCACTGTAGCTGTCCAAGGTACTGTTGTATAATTTAAATTATAGCCTATAAATGCACCAATAAACAAGATGAATGAATGAATGAATAAATAAAATAAATATAGATTCTTAAATGTTGATATTGTTTTTGCTAAAAAAAAAATAACAAATGTTTAATAAAAATAAAATGAGCAATTTTCAATATTTATACAATTCAGTAAAATATAAGCTGGACATTTTTGGGGACATGTAATTTCTCTGTGATCTTAGCTATATTTTCTAAAATCTCAACCAGGAATTGCTTTAATATGAATATGCTTTACATCCTGATATGCTGTTGTTTCATTTTCATTTTTATTTCACTTAAAAAAATCGGTATTTAATGTTTGAATACTAAAATAAATAACAGCTATTGTTTAAATTGTTATTTTACCAACAAAATGTTTATTTTATATTATTATCAACTTTTGATATAAAACCTGAAAAAAATGAAATAATTTAAGTGCTATATTTTTTATTAGTGAAAGTGCCCGCTTACTTTGCCTGTCAAAAATATATATTTCTGCTCCAAATGCACTATTATTGTTGCACTATCATTGTTTATTTTTCTGTAATGTATGAAATTTTTAATTTTTTTTTGAAAATTTCATAAAGTGTTAACGGCACAACCAGCACAATTGAATGACACCTGTTTTGTGCAATATAGAGTTACTTTTTAGGCAATATCTAAACAATACGAACAGATAAAGTTTTTATTTTAACGGCACAAACCAGCACAAACCGAGCACAAACGAATGAGACCAGTTTGGTGTGATTTAGACAACATGGGGTGGAGAATGACGTCACGGCTCCCGAAATATTTTGATTATATCTAAACAACGAAAATAGATAAAGTGTTTATTTTAACGGCACAAACCAGCACAAACCCAGCACAAACGAATGATACCAGTTTTGTGCGATTTGGAGGAAATGGGGTGGAGAGTGACGTCACGGCTCCCGAAATATTTTGCTTATATCTGAAAGAGGAAAACGGATACCGTGTTCGTTTTAACGGCACAAACCAGCACAAACCGAGCACAAACGACCTGTGCTGTTTTGAAGTCAATTGCGCAACATGGGGTGGAGAGTGACGTCACACGGTAAAAAAAATAATGCTTAATATCTCAGACCCCAAACCAGCACAAACGTTCGTTTTTGCGGCACGAATCAGCACAAACGTAGCACAAACGAATGGCATAGTTTTGGGGATTATTTGTTTTTATGGGGTGCCAACTTCACGGAGGTCAAATACCACCATCGATACTCACCAGAGACAATGAGTTTGAATCTCTTGGAGGTGGTTTTTCCTCCTTTGTTGATCAGTAATTTATAATATCCTGAGTCTGTGGTTCTGAGGTCATTGATGGTCAGAGATCCGGTCTGATCTAGACTCAGTCTGCTTATTAATTGCTCATCGTTTCCTTCATCAAATAAAGTGACTTCTCCAAACAACCACTGGAGGTGATCATCTGTCTCTATCTCAATATCATTGTCTAGAATAACAGATTGTCCCTCCTTCTTCAATGCAATTGCCAGTCCATCTGTCGAATTAAAAGAAGAAAATAAAAATGAATTGTGAAGTCCTCATTGATTACGGGTTTTAGATCTGCCACGTTGTTGTTGTTCACTGAAGTACTTTTACATTTTTCGAATTCATATTTTTACTGCTAAAAACCTCCATCTTATTCCGTAAAATTTCTCAAGTAAAATACTCAAACTGAAAAAAAGGTTATCACTTTATTTTGATGGTCCCTCTAACACATTTTGTAAAATTTAAGTTACATTGCATCTACATTTCAACTAATTCTCATTAGATTATAAGTAGACTGTTAGGGTTGGGGTTAGGGTTAGTGTAAGTTGACATGTACTGTACGATGCAAAGTTTCTTATAGTCAGTTAAATGTCCGTTGAAGAAGCAGTATCAGCAGAAATTAAGCAGACAGTCTACTAATAAAGTGATTGGGATGTAGTTACATGCAACTTTTAGTTGCGAAAATGTGCAATAGGATAATCAAATAAAGTCTTGCCAAAATTTTCTTAACATTATAAGTAATAATAATAAAAATATAATACAATCAAATTGCTAATCAACTGGATGCTATACAATTTAATGCAAAGTTTTTCAAAAGCTTTAAGTTATTTAATATTTCACCATATAATCCCAACACCAATAAATGCTGCACTAAGTTAAAAACATCATTTGCACATCTTTATATCTATATTATGCGTACTATACTATATCAGTTAATACTTACATTTTTGTCTTTTTTTTAACATCCAGCTGAGACCATACTTCCCACCTACAATTAGAGCCACTGTGACCAGCACCGACAAAATTACAGAAACTGATATTTCTCTTTTACAATTTGAGGCGCCCACTGATGCTGCAGTTTTCACATCTTGCTCTGTAGTGAACAGAAGAAAAGAAACAGCATAAAACATCAGCAAATTTGAACGTGAGTATTCTGAGATTCAACGATCACACGTTCATTCATTTTTCTTTAGCTCAGTGCCTTTATTCACCTGGGGTCGATACAGCGAAATGAACCACCAACTGTTCCAGCATATGTTTTACGCAGCGGATGCCCTTACATACTCACTCATACACTACAGCTTATTTTTGTTTCCCCAATTCACCTTTAGCGCATGTCTTTGTGGACACCATTTGGACAGACCTGTGTGCAGGTAAAGTGTGTCCAAAGTCATATTGGAGTGATAGAAACACAACAAGTCTCTTTTTTTATTTCCTGATGTTAAAATAAGACCTAAATACCAGGGATTTTGAGGCCTATCTCAATGTGATCTAGGAGTGCGGTTTTCTCAGTCCACTGATATTGATTGACAGGCGTGTATTAACATAGTAACATGTATAAACCAACCCAAGCTCATTCTGAAAACGTAGCTCCACGGACGTTGCTGGAGATCGCGATTTACATTGTCGGAGGTACGTATGGCTGCATTTCATTTTTTCAAGTGAACACTACAGGGTGGTGTGACGACGCTCCTCTTCACGCCCGCCGGCTGACGGCTCACCTCCGTGTGGAGGGCTTTCCCGCCACAACCAGTTTGTCCGGTTAGCTTGTCGTGAACATCTGTGGAGCGGAGATCCAGAGGGGAAACGACAGCGATGACCGGGTTCGAGTCTGGGAAAGAGCAGTTTCAGAAATCAGGTAAGACAAAAACAGAATCCAAAAAAATAAAGCGATCGAGTTTATAACAGGGTGAGAATGTGGAGAAATCTGAAAACGCAGTCAAAATCAGACAAGGGCTTTTCTTTTTCTAGGCGGCTTTTGTAAATCGTTGCTTGGATTTAATGAAAGAGGAGAAGGACGATGGTGGGTCGGCCTATTGGCCCGCCGCCCAGTCAATCATTTAGTCAGTTGGAGAGATAGTCGCTCAACAGCGGCCTCCGGCGGCTTTACATGAGAGCAGCACGGGCACGAACGGCACTCGGGAGAGGCGTTCGAGATGCGAAAACAGCCCGCACAGCAGCCTTGTAAAATTCGCAGATTCTCAAAAAACAAAAACTGTACAAATACGTACCTCCCGGGATGTATTTCGTGGTCTCCAGAAACATCTACGTTCCCAGAATGAGCCTGGGTTGGTATAAACATGCCCACAATATTTATACTAAAATATTTGATCGAGCTATCTGTGATCAAATTGCACTTAAAGAAGCAGTAACTGCTGCACTTTGTATTTTTATAGCATTATAACTATATATTTTGAGCTACGTAATTCGTTAACTCTGGAATCGACACAGCTGCATAATGTCGGTAAAACCACACTACAAAAGTTCTGGTTTGTGAAATTTAGTTCAGGTTTATTTTGTACAGTAACTTATAATCGCTAACATTATACATCAGCAGAAGAGCAAAAACAGCACAAAATGTGCATGTGTTTGTTTATGTGTGCACACCTATTTTGAGTGGGCAGGGAGAATCAGCTCATTTGCATTTAAAGATACAGTTGTAAAAACAGCTACAATTCTATCTGACCCAACAATGTCAATTTTCAGCAGGTTATAATAAATATTTGGTGGAAAACCATGATCACAACCAACGAAAAAAATTTATTATTCTGGACAACTGCTATTTTTATAAAAAAAAAAAACTAAATGCTGACCACTTGAAATGCTGAATAACTTTTTCACAAATTCACACATAATAAATCCCAAGGACTCTGAATATTTGGTCTCTTGAGACCATTCATATTGAATATACACTGTTACAAAAAAGAGCAGAGTATCAATTTAAGGGCTATTTTTTTGCATTTTACTACTATGCTATATTTTAATTGTTATTGTAAATGCAACTGATAGATATTTTTGACTGCTGCAATTTCTTTCATCAGGAAAAATGAAAGTGTGAAAAATGTTGCCTTGACATGTCTGGTTTTAAAAGGCTTCTTTGTATCTCTGTACAAACTAGTCATGAATCAGTGAACGTTGGGAAGTGGCAGTACAGGTTCTGATAAGACAACATTGTAAAAACATTTGCTGCAGTTTTAGTGTGCAGGTGTTGATGCTATTTACTATGCAGAGGTATGACCTAATTTTAAGTTGCCAGCCACAATGGGGACATCCCTGAAAGATTTTTCTGCATCCTTATTCACACACCCAAACAAGCTAATCAATGTCTTCATGATCATTAGAAAGTTAAGGGCAGGTTTGTTTGAGTTGGATTAGAGAGGCTAAACGTTAAAACTCTTTGGCCCTCCAACACCAACCAGACACATAAAAGGAAACAAAAGGAAAATATAAAAGTTTAAACGCCAGTGGTTGAACTAGGTATTGCACTCCTGGTTCAAAACACACTCAAGTGCAGGTTGCCCAGATTTATGATATCCACAGGAGCCAGCCATTGTGTTCTAAATAAAAGCAACGGCACATGATAGAAAGAATATTCTCCATAATAAAAGGAGTTTTTGTTCTAACTAACACCTGAAATTTATATTTTAGAAATGGCTTTAATTTCACCTCAAAAAAATTATCACCTCAGGTACACCTGATGTGCTTTATTCAGTGTTTAATGCGAATAATGTGGGTTTGAATGCCATTTTACATGTTTGCATATATTTAAGAAACATTCTAAGTGAACATTCTTGTTTATATGAAAAACAATGCTGAACTCTGATATTCTGCTTACAGTCCAGATGAATTTAAATTGTAAATTTAAAATATATTGTAAATATTGTAAATGGAAAATGCAGTGAATCAGAATCATTCAATGATGCTCACCATTGATATTAAATCTGAAGCTCCTATGGATGCTGACTCTGCTGCTGGGGCTGATGATCACTAGTTTATATTCTCCAACGTCTGTGAAAATTATTTTTTAATGGCCTGTTTCTAAACACTCAATTTAATTTTACAGCAAGCAAATTGGCAAAAACAGAATCTACAAAATAGCAAGTCCTATAGCATCATTACAAGACTTGACAGGCCAACATAAATACAGTTAAAGTCAGAATTATTAGCCCCCTTTATTTTTTTTCCCCCCTTTTTTAAATATTTCCCAAATGATGTTTAACAGAGCAAGGACATTTTGACAGTATGTCTGATAATATTTTTCTTCTGGAGAAGAAAGTCTTATTTTTTTTAATTTCGACTAGAATAAAAGCATTTTTACATTTTTTATGAACCATTTTAGGGACAAAATTATTAGCCCCTTTTATTTTCTGAGTCTACAGAACAAACTATTGTTATATAATAACTTGCCTAATTACCCTAACCTGCCTAGTTAACCTAATTAACCTAGTTAAGCCTTTAAATGTCACTTTAAGCTGTATAGAAGTGTCTTGAAAAATATCTAGTCAAATATTATTTGCTGTCATCATGGCAGAGACAAAATAAATCAGTTATTAGACAGTTACAAATCAGTTACAAAACTATTATGCTTAGAAATGTGTTGAAAAAAAATCTGCTCTCCATTAAACAGAAATTGGAGAAAAAAAATAAACAGGGGGCTAATAATTCTGACTCAACTGTACATACATAAATGTGAACTGTTAGTTACTGAGACTTAAATTTCAGTATGTTTATGTACATCAAACTGAAACAGAATATTGAGTAGGAAGCGGGTCTTCATTCCCTCATAGCAAATTAACAGTAAGAGAAGTGTGGCTATAAAGGGTGTTATTTACATTTACATTTAGTCATCTGGAACATAGCATATTAAACTGTGAAAATACTGTAATTTCCTGGATTTGGACTCACAATGAACATCACCCACAAAGGAATTTTCCCTGGTGGGGATCTTGAAGATATCGTGATTATAGATCCCAGCGTCTGTGTTTCTGATGTTTGTGATGGTCAGAGATCCAGTCTGATTGTCCAGCTTCAGCCTGTTTGTGAATCTCTCAGTGCCATTATTACACAGAACATCTGTACAGTTAAAACTGAGATCTCCATTGATCTGAGCGATGAGAATACCATTAAAATACCATCTTATCTTCTCTTGCTTACTTGTTTCAACACCAGTGTGAAGAGTGACTGAATCTCCCTCCATTACTGGTGCTGTCACTTTATCTGTTCCACCATTAGGCATGCCTGCAGAGTTAACAGTTATGAATAAACAGTCAATCATAAATAATCTCTGGAATATTGCAACAGAATTATACAAAGTGTAGCCTGTACTGTAAAGACTTGCTGTAAAATTTACTGTATTACTTGCAATTTTGGCAATTGATATTTTACAAAGCACTTCTAAATTTTATAGTATTACTGACAATTTCTACAGTATTAACTACACTGTAAACGATTTCTTGTTAAATTAACAGTAAGTTACTGGCAACAATTATCCAGTAGCTGCTGTATTTCATAAAACAGTAACATTACTGTAATACTAATTACATTAGTATTAGATTTACTGTAAAATGTAATACATCATTTTACTGTTTTCTTTTTTTACTGTAACACCAATTACAGTAGTGATACACATACTGCAAAACTGAAAACAGTATTTCACTGTACATTTTTACCATGCAGAACTACGGTATTTTAACGTTACTTTCATTATTACTGTATAGTATTTTACAGTTATTAAATGTTATTTTATTGTATTTAATAGTGCTACTTTATATTGGGCAAAACATTTTCAAAAATTGCACAAATATTATTTTAACTGTTCAAGAAATACAAGAAAAATAAAGAAATTGAAACTTTAACTTCACAATAAAAGTTTATTGTGTAAACCCTACTGAAACAGTAGCAATTATTCAATATAACAAAGCGACAGAACACTAATGAACAATTGATCATTAAAACCAGTCAACAATTAATGCATCAAAAAGTATTACAATTTTAAAAACAGGTGAAAATACTGCTACAAGACAGGAAATGATGAAGGTCAAATGATGTTGTGGAAAAGGGACAGTGAAAAAGGGCAGCAGCACTTCTGATGATCCTGCAAAAATGACAAGCAAAATCAATCACTGGAGAAAAAACTAATCATGCCTCAAATTATTTCATTCATTTAGAAACCAAACACCGCACTGCAGTTTTATATATATAAAACACTGTTTTTTATTGTTTTTGTTGGCGAAATAGTTTGTTGTCAATTTACAATTACACTAATGTTAATGGGGAAAAGATCAGTCAAGTCAACACTAGTCAAGTGTCCACACAGATATGTAAAAAAATAAAGTCTCATCTTAACTTAATATCTGACTCTGTATAACTTGAATATCTGATTCCATGACCACACTAGCGCTTCCACGGATTTAAGAGGGGTGAACACAGTTCATTCTGACCTTAAGAGGCTACATATTAAAAATAAATAAATAAATAAAATAATCTAATTTAATGTGAATAATGTTAATCAAGTACTTTTAACATGTGAAAATCCACTTCTAACTTACAGACAAGATTACGTTAGAGAACATGAAAGCCATGGGTGATTTTTCAAAAAAATAATGCTAATGATAAGTTACTGACATTTGGTTCGTATAAAACAAAGTAATCACTAAGCATTCATTTTTGGCAAAATCTGCCGAGAGGTGCAGCGACACGATCAAATGTGTTAAAGTTGAGCAGAGAACTGAAGAGTAGTCAAGCAGTCTACTTCATGAAAAGTTTGTGGTAATATTTTGCGGTCAATTCGTATTACTGTATTTCAATATGCAGTGATGGCATGTCAATGAGACAAATAAATATTATTACACCTCACGAGTGACATTGCTTCAAATTAAATCATCATGACGTTACTGTGCACAGCATCAGTAAAATGTTAAAAATTATTTAAATACCAAATTTTTAAAAACAGAAATCCTGAATGCATGATAATATGAAGATTTATTACTCACTGATGTCGAAGCACTTCCAGGTCGTCAGAGATGTAGACAGGACAGAATATGTGCCATCAAATGAGCTCTTGTGCAGCCTTTGCTGGACATCAAGGTAGTATGTTCACCCACACTGTAAATAAAAAAAAATCTGTTATTTTACATGTTTTTTTTTCCCAGCAGCTAGGGTAATAGAGTCATTTGGTTAAGTCAAGTGGTTTAAAATCATTTTATTTATTAAATACTTGCTTACCCATATATAGATGTAAAAGTAACCAAAATAAATTTTTATTATTATTATTCAAATGTGAGAGATACTAAGCATGTTTGGTCTACAGAGAGAAGTAAACATTTACTTTAAGCATTGATCCTAATGAATCTATTTCTGAACTACATCCAACCTCGCCTCGGAAACAGCATTTTTGAGCATTTAGATCAGGGGTGCTCAACCCTGTTCCTGGAGATCTACCTTTCCACAGAGCTCACCTGCAACCTTGATCAAGAACACCTGTCTTTATTTACCAAGTGCTCCTTCAGATACTATTAAGTTTGTTTAGTTGCGTTTGATCAGGGTTGGAGCTAAACTCTGCAGAAAGGTCGATCTCCAGCAACAGGGTTGAGCACCCCTGTTTAAGACAATGAAAAATAAGACATCTAGATGATATTTTATATTCAATCATTTGTTGTGAAATTTAAATGACTTCTATTCAGTATATACATAAAATAAAATTAGAATAAGAATAAAAAAAATAATACTCTATGCCAAATAAAATACTTCAGATCTAAATAAAGCAGGTGTTTTTACCTAAAGGTTCCTTTTCTACAGTTAGTTTAGTTGCAGATCCCTCCACATCTGTGCTTTATTTGGTTCTTGACTTAAGAGTATCTGGTGTCACATTCCAGGTCCATCACAATCTGAGCTAGAAAGACAATATGGCAAAAGACAAGACACATATAAATAAGTCTCAGAATAAAATATTTAAAAGGATAGTTTACTTTTCTGCCACCATTACTCCATGTGTTTTAAATCCATTTAAATTTCTGTTGAACACTAAAGCAGATATTTTGAAGAATGTTAGAAACCAGAAACTATTGACATCCATATTTGAACCAAATTTCTTTAAAAAAATATGAGTTTGTGTTCAATGGAACAAAAAAAATCTAACTATTTTGAAACAAGTGGAGGATGCCAAAGATGCCATTATTTTCATTTTTGGGTGAACTGTCCCTTCAATTGAAGTGTCATGCATTACTCATAAAAACTGATGTATCGCTTGAGGAAAACTAAATCAAGTACCTCCTGTGAGCAAGCAGAATCATTATGCCATTGTATCCAGCCAACTGAACCAGCCGAGGCTCGAACCAGCGACCTTCTTGCTGTGAGGTGACAGCACTACTTACTGTGCCACTGCGTCGCTACTGGAAGAAGAAAAAGAGGTTGTACATGAAACTCCTCACAACAAATCTGTGAACAACTTGACATTTCAAAATCTAATCAAAATGAGAAAGACATCAACATTACCTTGAATAATCAAGAGAGGAGAGATTGGTAGCATCAGTTTTTCAACATCAATTGCTGTGGCTGCAAGAAAGATAAATATAATAAGGGTAAAATAATACTTAACATTTAATAATCTAAATCTATGGTACAACCATACCAATCTGTATGGGGTTCAAATAAATTTGTATACAAATCATTCCCTACACCTGAACACCAAAAATAAAATGTACAATTAATGACACACTAACGTTATACAATAAGCTCATTAACCAGTGAGAAATAGACAATTAATATGAATTATGTTAATATTAACGTTAGCTTAAAAGACATAAACTGAATTTTATTATCAGCTCAATTTAATAAAACAGTTAGACTTGTTTCATTAGTGAGTTTAGTGAATAACTAACTTACAGTTTACAAATTTAACCATAATGATAACTTAGTCATAATGACCACATGAAGACCAGAGCTCACCTTAACGTTAAACGTTTAACTTTTCATGGTGACTTTGCCTTCATCTCAGTGTTGTGCTGAAATAGAGAATTCATTAATGCAGTTAACCCCAAGTAAAAGTTACGTTTTTTTCAGGTAACGTTACTATGGTCAAAAACTCACTGGCATCGAATAACGTGACATAAGTAACTACAACTAACGTAACTTGGTTAATTATTTAAAATTACACACACACTACACGGAAAAATACACAAAACAATCATTTAACGAACAGAATTTGACTTTTAAAAACTTACCGAGGATGAATTCACTGGAGGAAAAGGCGACAGGTGGATTTCAAATTAGGATAGCCGTTGCTTGCCTGGTGAAGGTCGAATCGAGTCGGCTCGGTTCTATGAATCGGCTCCTTAGAACAGTAAAGAGTCGAATCCGCCTAATACCGATTCCTTTTTGTATATTATTGTAAGACACAACAATGAATCATTACTATTTCGTTATACTGCTCGGTCACACACATTTATACACATATTGCTGAATGTGCTTGTGAACACATGTGATAAAATAATTCCCGAGCAAACGGTTCAATCCAATTCGGTGTCGTTTGAGTTCTGAACCGAACCAGTGCAAACGTGATATTGATAAAATAGAAATATTGTTTTTTTTCTCACTTTACCAGCGAAAATATTACATATATCTGACTTTAACAATAAGAATAAGGTTCGCTTGAAGTGTTTTGAGAATTAATATTTTTTTCTCCCAGAGTTCATTTTACACCAACAAGCAAATATAATGGCGGATGAGAAAAGCCAGATCATATCATAAATATTGCGTTTAATATGTTACGAAATGAAGTTTTAACAGTTTTTCATGCGAGAATGTAGTTCTTCCAAACTCAAATCTGTGGTTTGTTTTTAGATATCATGTCTAATTTTAAGTGTGCTTTGCCGATAGGGGAGATTCTGACCTCCAGGGGTTGACGGCAATAGTATGATCCTGCACAACTGGAGTAGCTGCACTCTCAGGACCGCATTTTTAGGACCCTAGTTTTTTTGCGGAAGCGCCACCTACCGGATTGGATGACATAGTGAAACTGCATTTCTAGGACCCGTTTTCAGGCACTTTTTTCCAGAGGTTAAAGTGTAAAACGCCTGCTTTAAGTAACAATTTTAAAATGAAATAAATGAATTTACACCTAAAATATAAATGAATAAATAGAGTTGAGTGCCTTAAAAGTCTTAAATTCCTTGAAAAATACTGTATATTGATGAACCCCATTACATTGAACTAATTAGCTCAGTATTAGGGAAAATAAA